GCGGGCAAGAGGTGCCTCATTAACATCTGTTCTTCAAGGGTTCGGCACACGTTTTTCGCCTGGTTTTATGAAGCGTAGTAACCAGATCCACACAAGTAGACTCTATGAAGCAAAAGCTTGGCTTCATTTGTGTGAAAACGCGCCTAACTAGTACGATGTGTCTTTTGGCCATGCCCCCCAAACAGGTTTCTCTTCTGTCAGAAAGAAATGCTCCTTCCTATTCTCCCACCTCCAGCCTCATTCCGCATTATCTATGCTTCGTCAGAAACATCTGTTTGGTCATGCCGTCTTAAATCCTATGCAAACTTTTCGGAATTTTTATATTTGGTGCATATCACGTTGGAGCATATCACACTGATGTTTCATTTTCCTTGAGAGATGGTATTTGATACGCGCAAATGGGATATTGAGTAAGATTAATAATTAATTTGAAAAATAATGACCTCTCATTTTGTAGACACACTCAGATCGAAGTGATAAGAGGATGAAGTCCTCACCATGCCAAACCTGTCATGGAAAGGGACAGAGCCACGATGAGGAGTGGTAAAACTGGTCTACAAATTTCTAAAACGCCTGAAATTATGTTCTCTTCCTCTTCTTGATCACGCCCCGGCCGCGATAATAAATTTAGATAGTCTCCCGATTTTTACCTTCCACTCAGTACCACAGTAATGAAGGCTCTTGCTCCTTACTTTTTTCTTCTGGGTAAGGAACAGCACCATTCATTGTCATGAAATGTGCATGCAGCGTTGGAAGGAAAGGAATTTATTTCTTCCCTCTCATTTTAGAGATCGTTTATCATGTGGATTTTTGACGGGCCAGAACCAATTTTTTTCTCATTTCCGGTCGACGGGTTTTTCAAGGCATCCCTTTTAGTACTTAAGGCTCTTCGTCCACAACATAACATATTGGGGACTCGACCTTCCACTTTTCTCTATGGAATGCGATTTTTTTTTTTTAGATATCACCGATGTTACTGGTGACCAATACATTACCACTTGAAACGCATCTACGTAAGAAGAACATCAGGAAATATGAATGTTCCAGGTCAAGGGAAGTCTTGTGAAGCGAACGGCAAATATAGAAGAAATATACAGGGTGAGCCAGAAGTAATTACTCACACTACACCCGCTGTAGCTTTTGAATGGTTCCATGTAACTTCATTAAAGAAAGCGTGTTAGCTAGCCATATATATCTGTGACACAAGCAACATAGCGTGGGGGGGACTGCTATGTCTTGAGAAAAGAGTTTGTATGTCAGATTATTTTCCATAAATGACAAAGTTACGAAGAATGCTATAGAGATTTCGGGAATGAGAGCTTACGCGAAGGCCATCATGCTTCAAAAGGAAACGTTTCACAAAACAGGAATTATGTTGAACAGCAAATGCCCAAGTAGATCTAAAACAGAACTCATCCAAGATCATTTTGATGCTGCTTTTCGGTCATTTTTACGTGCAAGTTGGCTACCTAACTCAGGTTGCTTGACGAAGATACATGAAACCGTTACGAAGTTATAGCGTTTTAAAGTGAGTCATCACTTCTGGCTCAACCTGCACGAAGACCAAAAGCATACTGTAGTGTTCTAGGGCGAGGTTCACATTGGGTGGAGAAGTGAAAAAATGTATTGTACGTTGCTTTAAAAAAAATTATATCAGAAATGTCCATTACGAGGGCTCAACAGGAAATCGGCAGATGATACAGTCCCTTCATGGTACAGTACATCAAGGTTCTCAAGCTATGGATGGGCCAAAAAAGGCATTGGGGAAGGATGGGTACGATATGGGCAGAGATCTGCCCCTAGGCTACGGCCATTCTGGGCGACCAGCGGACGAGAGATGGTCTCGCCTCGTTAGCAACGCCTGCTCTTCGAGGGCTAGGGACAGGTGTACCACCTGGTTTTACGAAGTGTTACCAGACCCATATGATGAGGTTCTATGACTCAAAGGTTTGGCTATGATTTGCATGAAAACAAGCTCAATTTAGAAATGTGTCACTTGGTGCATTTGCTTGTATTCGAAATATCTCTGGCTTGACTTTGTGCTTTTGCGATTGATTTTGCCGTTCTCGAGATACCTACATTGAGCATTGTTTATTACTTAATGAAATAAGTACTGGGTACATTGGAAGAAGATCAAATAGTAGAATTCATTGATGTACTATTTATAGGGTTGTTCCTCGCAAGAGAGCATAGAAGCAAGCACAGGAGTGTATGGCGCTGTGCAAGGGCAATGTTGGGCGGTAATGAAGTAAAAGTACAGTACAGTAACTAAATACATTTCATGGTTATTTCAGTGGTAACGAGTTACCTTGCAGGGATTAGCAATGAAAACAGTAACTAGTTCCTTTTCCAAGGAAAATGTCAGTGGCGTTACTGTAACACAATACTTTCTTGATAGACTCGACTTCAGATGAAAGCAGCAAGCGATGTATTCATCCTTGCAATCACTGAAATCATCTAAGAAGCTGAAAACGCAGTTCAAGTGCGGTACACCTCAACCAACCGGTGCCGCTGTGGAGAGGTTATTTGGGGTAAGCAGGGACATTTTCACCTACAACAGAGAATTTCTAATGTCAGCTTTGAGAGCAGTGCCTTTAAGAGCGAACTAAACACATGCGAGTGTATCACATGTTCCTAACTCCAGGAAAGCCAAAGATAACAAATTTTTTGCACCCTCGGATGAAAACACATGGCTCTATTTTTAGGGAGTACTCTGATGGACACGAGACGTTTACGGCGAGGATTCCTCACGCTGAGCGTTTTTCATATTTCTAAACCAAGATGTGTAAACCCTCCCAGAGAAGCAATGCTGAGTGCAGGTCTAGAAAAATATCCAATGTCTCCCTTTTCCAGCACCGGGAAAAGGTTCACCACTGGAAATAGGATGAACTTGTTACAACGAACTCCCCTGATAGCTAAGTAATTTTCATGGTCCTCTGTCCCTTCATATGCTGCCCTTCAAACGTCTTGCAACACTTTTTCCTTATCAAAATTCTCAGCACCTATAGTGCAAACACAGTGAACATTTATATATCCTCGTGCAGCTTTGTCTCTTTTGCAAAAGCGCCCACTCTTGCCATGACTTGTACCATCGCTTCTCTGAAATTCGCCAGAGAGTCCGCCTGGTTAGGTTTTTCAGCGTGGAACAATTAAAATCCGTCCTCATACCGATTGTTGGCAAGCCTACTTTTCTTCTTGCATCCATGCGAGATGCACCCTTAGGAAAAGGACTCCTGTTGTCCTCCAAAACTCTTGCCACTTTTTTCATTATACAAAATATCGGTACCTATGGCATCAAGAGAGAAAAAAAGTAATCGGATAACTTATTCTCTTAGCTGCGCAAAGCATCCACAAACATCAGGTTTGTGCTACCATTTCCCTTAAATTTGCCTCGAAAGCAATCTGGTTCGGAATTTCGACAAGGAATAATGGCAGAAACATCACTCCATCCCCATTCCTATTGCTTGCAAGCCTGAATTACTCTATCTAACCCATGCCATCTCCAAAGTGGCCCAAAAGCAATTCTCGAACCATACGTGCTTCAATCTACAATGGCCACCTCTTTTGGGTGAGTGAATAGGAATTTATTGGTGGGTAAAACGTGTCATACAAAATTAATCTAAACAGAACTGTATTTCAACCGAACAAATAATATGTAAATAAACAGCGTAGAAGACGTCAGGTGGGTAAAATTCAACATCTGAGAATGACCAGTGACAGGTAGCATGGCCCTTATGAAGGTACAACGAGAAATGCCTACTCTTTGGTGAAACAAAAATCAACTGAGTAAAATACAGTTTAAAATGACAAACTAAGAGGTTATTATGTGTGTCTCATGTAAAAGGTCACATGCCTTGACACAGCATGTAGGTAAACTTCTCGTGTTTACATGAAGTGTACCTACTTACCATGTCCATACAGGAGTTGCTGTCTGTCTATGTTCAGAAGCCATAGCGAATGGATTTGGCGCTATTGTTTGAAAAATGTCTCTATCCATTGCAGGGGTAGTAGTACTTACCCTGTTTGCAGATAACAATCGATGGTCCTACTCACAACTGAGACATTGATGACACGAAACGGCTTGAAATGACCAGCTAGCATAGAAATGATGGGAAACAATTCTCCGATGTTCTGACTGAGACCATGTTTTCTCATACGGTATTGGAAGCAGTCCCAACTGCAATACACTGAGATTTGTGTTTCTAGTGTGGGCCAGTAAAAGTCAGTCGTCTTTTCTTAAACTGCGATACACAAAGGCTGACACATTCATGAAGTGCCACCCACTAAGAGAGTTTAGGCACCCATCCAACATTTTGAGCCAGTTTGGATCATGTCATCTTTCAGCTCTTGAAAATGAAGCATATATTCATGAAGGGTAACGTTTTCCCCTCACTTTAGCAATGTTCCAACAGGACTGAGCACACTCAACTGGCAATCTTAGTAATGATATTGGTTTTAAATGAATTCTTCTGATCATGATAGATAACCTTCCATTTTTAAAACTGAGGGTCGCCAGTTTATTTTATTTTAATGTACCCTATTGATATCATGCAAGACTCATGTTCTTTCACACACGACATTCCAGGTGAATGAGAAGTCTGGTAATGAGTCTACATGAAAGCATACAAATCAACCTAAAATGCAACCAGAACACAAGGCAATCACAATGACAACAGATGAGATATCATAAACCAATTTCTTCACTAAGAATGCTTGCCACCAGCTCAGTCATGTTGGACATGCACCAATGTGAGCCTGGTGTGGGGCAATAGAGCAAAGTTTGGTTGTTCCCTGTATTTTTCAATACTTAGACTCTGAAAAGCTGCTCCATTAGAAATACAGGGTGACTTCTTTTAAACTGGACAGAATCTTCCTTATTCATCAGAGGAGTTGTGTAGAAAAACATGGGCATATGCTATATCATATGAAGAAAATTTAAAAAAAACTGGGACACATTTAAAAAAATAATGTAGTGTATAACCAAAGAATGTTCAACTGAATAAGGTAGTTCCCAATTTATTATGCACACATGTTAATTTTCCAGGCATGCTTTCCAACAGTAAAAACCATACACGAGCAGGAAGCAAATGAAGGAGGAAAAAATAACATTAAAAAATATCACGTGAGACAAGTAAATACGATGGATTGGAAATTTCCAAGTTAAACTAACTGGAGTTTTCTTACTGATTAAATAATCTATCAGCAAACACTCAATTCTAGAAAAAATAGCCATTTTCCCATTTTCATGCATTTCAAAACAAATCACTTTTGTTACTGAAAAAAGACTTGAACACGAGAACAAAAAAAGTTAAAAAACTAGTTATGGAATCTCTGCTTATCGATTCAATCTGTACAAATGGTAAGACAATGTACAAGGGAAAGGAGGAGGGACATATGCATGCAACTAGAATGGAATGCCAATTATTCAGGTGTTGCTATGGCATCATCACTCAAGGTGAACACTGTACTGATCACGTGGGTCCAAAGGGAGTGGAAAATGAATGACCATCAGATCCCAGTAGTGCTTGCAACAGAGAGCCCTGTTCTATGAAAGATGGAAAGATTTCTTGATTGATAATACCCCCAAATTAGGCACAGACCTCTCTATTGTAAACATATACTTTTGATCCTCAGCATATAAATCAGGATTATGAGAAAGAAGTACAGCACCATTTGACTCTTCAATGTGTGGTTTTATCATTACCACTGTATTACAATCCAAATCAAACAAGGGCACCTTTAAACTGGAAAAAAAAGAACAAATCATTTCTATGTCGCATGGTCCCAAGAACATTCCAATCCCTGCTCCAAACACAGCTCTTGATTTCAAGTGTGTTAATTATCACATACGCTGCCTTATTCATTTGGATATTTGGGTAGGCATTCATCGAGTGAGTGTGAATTCTCATGTCAATATGAGGACACAGATAAGCGTACAAAATCATTCGAGTGAAGCCAGGCCCAGACCAGACAAGGCTCAGTTAGTTTGAGACTTAGGCAGAAGAGGAGTGTATGCAGCCAATATCCAATGTTCACATTTTCCATCTGGGTTTCTCATCATCACCATTTCCCTTTCGTCTAGCAATGTCTGATGCTCCTGATCCTTTTCTTGTCAAACTTGATGTCCCTGATGAGATCCTCGAACTCCTACAGTGAAGAGAAGATTGAATGCACCTCACTACATATCAATCATGGGAGAGTAGTCCTTTCTAAAGTTTTCCAATAACAAGATCAGGCCAATTCTGCTGATAATTTTGACAAAAATGATCAAACACAGGATATCACTGAAATATGCAAGGAGAGAGTTTCACTTGAGAGCCTTTAAACTAGTACCTCTTTTGCTGGGAGGAAGGCAGGTTAGTTCCAGATGAAGTAGAAGGAGTCCTTGATCTGGATTAAACAAGATGATCCCACTTGTGTTAGTAAAATGCAATTAGCACAAGCAGCAGAGATCATTGATGATTTATACTAAGTCTCTAAAGATCAAGAATTCAAATGATTATGTTTACTCCAATTTAAGTTTCATTTGGCTAAAATACTCTTGTTATCCCAAAGCTTTACAAAACACCCCAATTTGATTTTTGAACAAGTGGCTTTCATAAATTTCACACATTGTCAACAGTTTTGTCATTGCCCAATTTAATTATTATAAGTTATCCTTGAAGTGCCATCACCAAAGAGTTAGTTACCTGGGCGTTGATGTGGCAGAAGCCACAGCTCCTGGTATGCTCCCACTAGAAGGAGTTCTTGACCTGAGGAGGGTCAATAAGAGGTGTTAATACCTTACACCATGAGGAAGCTTCAAACTTTAACTTCAGAATAATGCAAGCAGTTCATAGATAATTCATTCCTGGTAAATATGTGAGAAAAAAAGCATATGTTAATTCCTTCTCTAACCTCAGAACACTCAAATTAGAACACAACATACAGGGATTGTGCTAATTTCCTTCCCTTAAGGGTCCCCAGGACCCTTAGATCTGATAAGGGTCCTTCTGAAAATGTTAGGAGTCCCATTGCAATTGAAGCATGATGAAATCTTGCAAATTTGCACAATATGTTCAAGTCCAGTAGTCAATGTTTTTTCATTGATATAATGTAACCAAATAGCATGATGTTCAATCCAGCAACCTTAGGACTACTTCCCACATTTTCTCTTTGATATAAATATCCCTAAGGCATCTTCACATTTGCAAATTAGACATTTCTGTAAATTACAACTTCCAAATGCTGGGAAGGAATTTTCCTTATTTGCATTTGAGCAAGTATCACAGGAAGCTCTTCCATATCTATAGGAAAGCCAGGGATACATGTTGATCTACAGCTTTAAAATTTTGTAAAAAAATTTTCTCTTTCAATGTGATTCAAAGGTCATAAGGTGCCCATTTTCATCATCATAGCCCACAACTCTTTCCCTTCCCTTTGACTAGGTCAAGGCCTAAGGCGATTTTCCCTTTTCTGTGCATTCTAAGTGGAATGATGATATGACCTCCGTTTAGACCTATGCTGTTGATATCTTTATTCATGTAACACTAGGCCTCTGTTCAGGAACATCTGATTGTATGCCAATTTGTGATTTGAATGAACTAACATCATACATTTTCCATTTGAAGCTGAATGAGAAGAATGTTGGTCCCAATCCCCAGAAGCCATAATTAAAAGGAATGGAAGTATGTCACAAGTGTGTGAACCACATACGGTCTGTATGGCATGAACACAATGCAACATGCACCCCGCTCATTGCATTCACATTGTGCACCTTCCTCAACAAGGGCTTCATTTCAACCCCCCCCTCCATCCATTAATAAGGTTGTGCATGGGATTTATTTAGGTATGATGCTAAGAGGCAACTGCCAATTGGTCTGCAGAAATCCAAGAAATTCCCTGTGTGTCCCTGGGACCCCAATGCTTTTCTGTTGTGTGTCCCTTTGGAATTTTGTGCATATACAATGCACATTTGTGTGTTAATGCAATCCCTGAACATAAGATCCCAAAAAACAGGAACCTTCAAAGTAAGAAATGTTCATGACTAACTAGGTTAAAAGGAAGCCTAAAGCAAATGCAAGAGGTAAGCCTGTACCTAAGGGTTGAGCCAGACAGGAGGTTTGAGGTTGAAGCTGCATGACGAATGAAACTGCAAATGGGAAAAAGGGAAAGGGATGCCTGTTAGTAGAAGTATTAAGTTTATACAGCAGTCATAAGTCATATTAGGAAAAGAGTTGGAATGCAAACAGGAGGGTCAGGTTGATGAAGAACTACTCAATCAAAACACATTTTTGAATGGTACATGCAATGCAACTATACACATCACCATAAAAGCATCACCAAGAAGTTGAGCTATATCAACTGTCAAGCGGGTTTGACGGACATATCTGCTGTGACCAATGTCCTTGATATATCGTGTATCTTTAAAATTGCAATGTGGTGAGTTGCTCCCTGAAGAGGTTATATATAACCTGGCAACTTTAATCAATTTTGTAATGCACTCCTGTGTACCTGTGAAAAATTTGATCATTAAAGCTCAACTCCTTGGTACAGATATCTTTTTTGATAAGGATATTGGATGAGTGGCATTATGGTCACCAGCAAACAGAAACAGCAAAATGAAGTTGGTGTAATCAATAGGGCAATCCCAAAAAAAGTAATATGACTGCAAGGATAGCTGGTTCATGCTAACATTAATGTACGACTGTATTTCATTCGAACTGGTACTGCATGATTGGCTACAAAGCTATCCATTTATTCAAAGTAACTTCTGCCAATGCTTTTACAACACTGTTAAAACATATTATGGATTAATGCAGAAGCCATAGTAAATCCTAAGCTCATTAATCTTCCAACAATGAAATATTCACCATTGCAGGCATTATACGAACAAACACCTATACAGGGTGTCAATTAATTCATTTGATCAGCTTCAATCCCAATATGGATGCAAGTGTCCCTCTAAGGTTCTTGTCTGCTGTATAACCTATTAATTACTCATCTGTTCTTGCTCACCTCCAGCATTTTCTTGACACCACCCACTTGTTGCTTCAACCATAGTCCTCTCTTCTAAAATAAATCTTTTCCTTGTCTCTTTGTACATTTAAACCAGCAGTCCAGAAAATATATGAGTAAATGAAAAAAACTTCGGAAGGAATTTAGTTCCATGTCTACATTTCAAATAGTTATTCTCAAGAACTGGTTTGAAAATATGTAAGCTCAATATAACATCATCACTCATAACTTACAGAAACTTTTTGTAGCGAATCACAATTCCCAAGATCCTGCCCAAATAACCTTGTTCTTTTCTCACACTGCCACCATAAGGGCAGGTTCAATAATACTCAGGGTTGGATTACTTACACCTTTTTAACCTAATGTATGGTCATAACACAAGTTATATATAAAATGAAAATTAAGAGACTTTTTTCATAGAAAAAAGCATTGGCTTTGCTGAACATATGCTCATTGTTGATTTTATTTTGAGGTGCTAAAGTGTGTTCAGGAGTTCATTGAACAATAGGAGCAAGAAAAAATAAAATTACTGCAAAAAAATTTCAGGTTAAGAAGGATTTAAGCAGTCATGATTGGTTAGGAAAGGACACCCTGTATAAGATGTATACTTTTCAAATGGTGAACATGAAGATGATATATACATGAAATGGATTGCCCTGCCTTTGCCACCCTGGTAATAAAGGAGAGAAAGTGCCAAGAAGAAGGTTGTGAGGAAAGCAGCAGCAAGTTACCTAGGAGTGGAATGTCCTGTATAGATAGGGATTTTTGACCTGAAATAAGAGAAACAGAAGGATGAGTGAGAGAAACAGCGAAGGATTCAGTATAGCAAATGGAAAGGCTACCTTCACCAGAGACTGAATTACATTGATGTGAGATGGATGCATATAACACAATCAATTCATCAACATGATTAGTCATCCCATTCCAGGTTAGATCATACACAGGTTACATAATTATATGTCACATATTCAATTCTCATTCATAACGGACCTGCACATTTGCCGGCACTTGAGATACTAAGAAGGCTGCCTAACAATTAGCTTGATTTGAAGAGAAGCTAGGAGTATGCTACAAGAACTTGGCCATCACAGGCTCAGTGACAAGATGTGATAACTACAGGTAGCAAAAGCAATATTACAAAGGAAGCTCAATGTACCTCGAATCAGGTGTGGGTGACTTAGAGGCTTGTGGATGCATTCTTTCAGGATACTTCAACAATGGTGCCACAGGTCTGCAAAGTTAGTCATTCACATCTCATGCTGTCCAGTCATCAAGTAGAAAAGCTCAAGCTGACCAAGTTTAATAAGCATAAGAAATTTTAGTATCTTCAAGCATGCAAAATATTGATAAGTTAAACAAGGAGTGTGCTTCGTGAGACTTGAAAGTCCATTCTTCATATTTCAACCCTTCATGCAAAAAGACCTAGAAGCCTTGCAAGATAGGAGTGAGAAATTTCTTCCTTGGATGAGTGGAATGTAGATCATCTTGATGAAATTTCAGCAAACTTGGCTTACCTGGAAAGGAGTGGAGAGGCAGGTGTTCGAGATGTAACTGGTGCAGAGCCTTTTCGGGCTGACAAACTTCCAGTGCTTCCACTTGATGCTCGAGTGGGTGTTGAACTCCGTGCTGCATGAAACGATGAAATACATACTGAATGCTCCACTGTTTCTTGATTCGCACATTGAAGAGAATGCACTGCTGCCATGATGCTGGCTGTGAATAGAATTGACTCAGAGAAATCTTACTTTGGTGTTCCCCAAAAGCCATATTTTCATAGCATAAAGGCTCACACAAGAATTACTTCTATCAGAGCCCAATTGCTTGGCCTAAGAACAGATCCATGTTCCAATATATGTTTCCTCAAAATTCACACAAATCAAGATGGTCTCTCATCAATATTGATAATCCCATCTAATGTCTCCCATCTCCATCCCATCCATTATTTTCATCAAGCATACAGCCCTAAGTTTCAGAAAACAGAAAGGAAGCATAGTAAGTGATGGAAAAACTCACCAGATCCTTTGGTGGAGGGCTTATTGAAACTGGGAGTACGCTTAATGGAAGAGCTGATGCCTCGTCGAGCCGGAGTAGTTCCATCCACACTGTCCAGAGAAACATCTGAGCCTGCCCGAGATGGTGGACGTGAACCTCGAGATGGTGGTCTGCTGGATGGCCTGCTGCTTGAACCTGTACACCAGAGAGATAATACAAGTGATCGGCATGCAGGAATGGGTGATGCTCTGGAATTCACAAGCACATACCTCCCCTGGATGGTGTTTGAGGAGAAGATCCCTTCCTTGGCTGATGCAGACGGGTGAGGAACCCTTCAGAATCACTCAAGGAATCAGAAGTACCAGCAGAGAATGACGCCCTGGTCATTGGTGTACTACGTACAGTCTTCTCACGGATCTGAAGTGATAGTTACAGGATGTTATTATCAAGTCAGTGACAATGATGCATACAATATCATGTCTCAAGGCTGTATTAGTAGTTCAATTCTAACAGCTATTCATATCCATTCAACACTTCTTACAAAGCACTCTTATCAAGTCAACTGCCAATTACTTGGTGTGCACCTGAATCTACATTTCCATATGCACAGGTCCAGGTATAACGTTTCTGTGATGACAAATGCAATCATAACTTTGCCTTCACACCATTGTGACAAAGCCCCATGCAACAAAAATGAGTTCTGAGAGAATGGGATTCTACCTTTTCTTGTCTGCAAGCATTCAAAAGATCCCTGACCATATGCTTGGCCAAAGAAGACTTTACATTTCAAATCATGGCCTGAAGAATACCCTAGGTGTTAGGAACTCTTCTCAACTATTGTTTGCACATTGTAAGTGCATGCAACTGATTAGCTCACAGACTTCCTATCTCCATCAATAATAGCAACAGCAAAATCTACAACAAGCATGACATGGTGTAATAGTCTTTACCCCATGAAGTAGGCAGGAAGAAGGCCCAACAAAAATGGGTTGTGAAAATGGAATGTACATCCCTGAACTCAATCTCAACCCATCAATGATTGGCATGAGATGGCTCAAGAAGAATTCAGCTAAAGAAAATAAATGGGAAAATATTCTAAAGACCATGACAGTGACCAGTACAAAAGTGCCTGCCGCATCATGCTGTCCCGGCGGGTGTTTCAAGTTCTGACATACTAAGAATTTCTTATTGCATGTACAGATGTCCCAGTTTGACAGCAGAAGTGACAGTAACTCCTGAACTAGAAGCATATAGCCTATTCATAGTAATGTACCTTGGTGATGGGTCCAGCTGTTGGCAGTGGACTGGAGCGCTGGCCAGACTGGCTTGATGCAGAACCAGATTGCTGTGGTTGCTTATGTTTGAATGGAGTCATGCTCTGAGCTCCTCCTTCAGGGAGGATGAACTGCTCTCTCAATTCCACATTTGTACGTCCCTTGGCTACATGGGGAAGTCAGAGGTTGGGGTATGGGGTCATAACTAAAGCTACTGGTACATGCAAACTGAAGTCTTAAAAATAAACATAACTTGTAACAACTTCATTATGGTTATCAAAGTTTCAAAAACTTAAAAAGTGCATTATACAAAATCATGCTTCTAACAGAACATTGTCCAAGTAAATCAGGAGAAACTAAATTCAAATTTAAAAATTGAGACTGAAATATATATATTTCAGCTTTTGGACTTTGTTTTTAACAACAAGAGTTTTCATGCAAGCATGCAAACTAATTCAAAGCTGTTGTCAAAGTTGTGAGTTACAGGATCTCACCAGACCGACACCCAAATGGGCAACCTGGTTCATGCTCTTCTGGTGTGACTTGTTCAGGCAAGTGTAACAAAATGACTGATTTAAAAAACAAGGGAAGAAAGAAAAATTTTAATGAAGAGGTTAATGTGGTCATTGGGTGGGAGATGGGAGGGGGGGGGGGAAAGGGATATTAGATTGTTAGTTTCCACTAAATTAGCGTCCATCCTCCAATAGGAATTGAGCAGTTCCCTTAAATAAGGACCCTTCCACCAAGTGCCACTGTATCTTTAAATCTTTAAATTAATGGAAAAAACTGAAAATCATTCATTCAAGTGATTAGGATCAAGTTGTTAGGATCATTTATACTTACAGTTTGAATTATTTACAAGAATGAGAAGCCTTTTTTCTCCTTTAATCTTCAAGAATGAAGCTCTGAACTTACCTCTGCATGGATCATTCTTGACAAGGAACTCATCAAGAGCGACCCATCCACCACCAACACGAACCATGACAGTTGAACGTAGGATGCGTACCAAACGTAGCTTCTGGCTTTCTCCAAACTGAGAAGAAAACAATTATTAATGAAGGGGGGGGTCAAATGCAAAATTTGAGTTCTGAAATGATCCATTTCAATATCAATGATCACCTTGTATCTCCCTTCTCCAACATGCCGAACGATGAATTTTGACCTGCAAGTGCACTGGGCAACCTGACGCTGTACCTCATCTTCAATTTGCTCCTGTTCTGTGAATGGCTGGTCCCAATCAGGGCGAAGGGCAGCCAAAAACTCAGCATGATCGATGTAACCATCATTGTTACGATCCATGATCTCCACAACTTGCAGCATTTCCAATCGGCTTGTTGGGAACTCTGGGACATTGAAAAGAATCAAACATACAATATGAAAAGTGAATGATGGCTTCTGAATGTCTGAGGGTCTCAGAAGTGTCAGCTGTATCAGACTCACTTGATTTGATGATTCCATCAATGAAATCAGGATCCCTGAGAACACGCCCATCGTTGTCTTTGTCCATTTTGCGGAACAGATCCATTGCTCTTGACTTCTTGTGATTCAACCACCTCATGAACTGTAGAAGGGAGGGCACAATATTAGCTCAATTGAGGAGTAAAGCCACAACACGGGTAACATCCACTTACCCGCTTTCTCCATTCCTCAAAGCTAAAGTTCTTCAGCCTTTCAACCTCCTGCAGATGGTTATACTTATCTTGAAGTCTCCGTTGGCGATCCCATGCCAGCATCCAAACACGTCTCCACTTTTCCCACAGTTCTTGAGCACGAGGATTTTTTAGGGTTGGCTCAGTTCCAGCTACCTTGCTGTAATGAACAGAGGAAAGAAACAGTTCTGTAAAGAGAAATAAATAAAGTTTACCCAAGGGATGACTCAAGTCAGGAATGTCAAAGCACTAAAAAGAGAATAAACCCAACATCAGCATAGAGTCTAAATTAGCTTTCATTAGTAACTTTTTTTTTAGTCTTTGCTAAATTTGCCACATTCTGATAATTAAAAAAAAGGACAGCATGACTATTTTCATGAAGTACAAAACAGGCAGGCATGAGAGAAAAGGGGATGCTGTCAACCCAACATCTCTCCCATTCCCACCTTTGAATGGGTCAATTGATTGCACATCTCAATGCCTCTATTGTTACAAATTGGATGGTGACATGACTTGGTTCTCTCATGTAGGAGTTGGAAGATTTTTTAACTTTTTCTTATTTGCTGTATTTTCCTTTCTCAGTTCTCAATCCTCCTCTCCCACTAAATCCAGCCCTTTGTTGGTTCACTGGATGACATACTTTCCCCACATACAGGGACAGCATTAGAGATGCAACGATATTGAATTTTGGCTGATATCCAATATACTGATAATTCCGATATTGGAAAAGAACCGAAACAGATACCGATAACCGAAACTTATATCTATATCTACATTTATATTCACACATTCAGGCATTAACCCCTCCACTGTTAAGTTTTATTTGGGACCAGGTCTGATGGGGAAAGCTTGAGGTGCATCAGTGGTGCACCTCATGCTTTTGTCATTTCTCCAATAGTGAGAAGAAATGTTTTGTTCATGCTGAAGTCAGGCTCTTCAAAGAGAATTTTAACATATTACATTGACTTGCATCAGGCATTTTCTTTACTATGTTCCATCATAGAACTTGCAAGAAGGTGGAATGGCAATTACTTCTCTTTTTTTTTTCTTCAAAGTAGCACTCAGTTAAGAAAATGTCAAGAATGTCAAAGTTCCTTCCTTCTAACCTCCAATGGACACCCAGAAGGTCTGACAGATTATTAACACATCAGATAATTTGCCATGGAGATTAAATGAGAACATAACTGCTTTTCAGGAAAATTTCTAAGACGATGAATCATATTTATTATATTACAGAAGTATTTCATATACAAAGATATTTATGTTATACATTATATTATACATATTTAAATATAAATTATGACAATTATTTTAAATAAATTAGGGCTGCACTGACGTATTGACAACCACAGAGATTGGCCTCTGGTGTTGCACCATTGACGCCATGGCCATCGGTAGGATTGCAAACTGTCGATGCCAAAGCCTGAAGGAGGGCAAAATGAAAAAAAAACTACGTGTGAACGCGGCTTGGCGCCGGCCCTCCTGTCTCGCTGAAAGCCTCCCCTGCCGCCCTCTCCCAGAAAAAAAAAATCTTTCGGATTATACAGGAAGTCTTCGATTTACGTTGTTTCGATACAACATCGCTAACATTTCCATATACGTTGGGTCGTTCCGATATAACGTCGTAAATCGAGGGCTTCCTGTATATCATTTAGTCCATGGGAAAGTAGGTTTCGTTTTACGTCGTGTTTTCCGGGAAAGCATCCACGACGTAAATCGAGGACTCACAGTATTTCAGCCCGATTGTAGAAACTGGTAGAGGAAAATAGCAGTAAAGACCGTGAAATCACTGTACCTCCTTTTATGCTGTGCATTAGCGAGTGGTGTCGTTAAGCGCTCTTTTCAGCAATAGGTAACCAGCTAATCACTGACGGACGCCGACAGGCTGGAAAGGTCTAAAAGTGGTCTCTATCGTTTTCAGGAGACTCATTGATAAGTATCACAAGGCTTCCAAATAGGCCTATTTAAATTAGTACGCGATTTCATGTTACTTTCTCACTCTATAGAGCAGCGGTTCCCAAACTGTGGGTCGCGACAGGCCTCAATGTGGATCGTGTACATTTCCACAGTTTAAAAAAATTCACTATGTCCGCATCCGCCCAGGATAAAACATGCCCTACAAGAAAGGTCGATCACTTTTCGTCGCATGATGATTACTTTGAAAACACCTCGTTCTGGATTCCGGTGGGTCGAGAAATTTTTTGTACGTCAACAAGTGGGTCGCGATTCAAAGAAGTCTGGGGACCGCTGCTATAGAGCATAGACCATAATCAGCTCCGGCTCCGGCACCGGTGATGGTATGAGTTAAAAATGCGCCATCAGTCTACCGGCCAAATGCGGCCATCGGCACAGCCCTAACATGAACATAAATATTATAAAATTCTTGAAAATCGGTGGTTCCAAATGGAACCTGCGGGCACAAAAGAGTTGAAATCCGACTAGACACGAAATGTCTAGTGATTTTTGTACCTAAGTTTTGGGATCCATCTAGGCCTTGGTTCTTCACGCAGACACAAGCGATGTCTATTTTCGCAGAAAGCACGGAGTAGGCTATAGATTGTGGTATTAGGCCGAGTTAAGTATCCTGTAGATGACGCATCCCATCTCTCTCTTGGGTGACTGGGTAAATGAGCTTATGTCCCGTGGCAGGGTGGCCTGGGCCCGAACCTAGCCAAGTCAGGTGTATATTTCCTAGTTCAAGCGCCAGCGTGCTTAGGAAGGGAGTACCCGAGCACGGAGCGTTCTCATCTCTAGATGTGGGACGTTGCGGAACTGCGACAGTGAAGGTCGAATCCAGGTGGCATATCCCCAGATTATTATGGCGGTTAAACCAAACGCGAAATGATTTTAGAACTCTATCGCAGTCGATTATGCCTACATCACGTGCTTGCAACAGGTCGCAAGTTGTCACTCCCAATCCAAAGGGGAAAAATGCTTACATGTTCAGCAGCCTAATACTTATTTTTTAAATGAAAACATGTCATTTAGGCACTTTCAACCTTCTGCAGTGTTTTTCACTTGAGTCAGACATTTTTTCACTTGACTTCGACACTCATGCATGAGGAACATCCCATGAACGAGAGTCAAGTTCAAGTTCGAGTCAAGTGAAATGTTGTCTAACTCAAGTGAAAAACACTAATGAGAAAAACGAGAGAATATTCATCATTCGCTTTACATACCTAGCGTTTAGCATACTTCAGGAGAAATTTCAATATCGGTTATCGGTAGGTCATATATCGTTTTGGGCCGATATATCGGGTTCACCCAATATCGGTCGATACCGATAACCGATAAAATATCATTGCATCTTTAGCATGAGTCTACTTCAGTTTTATCACTTTGGCAATAATTATCTTCCTGTGATCTTATACATCTTAACCCCATTGCAGCAGCAAACACTCCCAAGGGTCATTTTGATGCTGTTGCAGGAAAACAGAGCATACCAGAGCATACACATTGGCAGCATTACAGAAATATGGAATTTAGGAATCTGAAAAAAATACGTATCAGAGGAAGGATCCTGTCACAAAAAAATTCAATATGAGTGAGGACCTAGAAGGATAAGGTGAGAGAATGACAAGTAACTACAAGATACTATGCCTAGTGCAGACGAAGGGAGCTGCTACAGACACTCACAGGAAGTACAAAAACACATTCTCATTCTGGATGCAAATATGGAGGAGTGGAGAAGTATTTGATAAATTCATTGAAGGTTCAAGTCCATTGTCCACAACAAATACCATATATTGAATCTGTATTGATCATGATGATGACCATTTAGGACACAATAGAAAAATCATAACTTCTGGCAAGAAGCAGTGAGTGAGGTGAGCATTACCATCTCTCATTGAGAAAAAAAGTGTGTGGAAGCCTTCAATGAATTTGAAGATATCTTACCTGTTTTGTTAGTGAGGATGGAAGCCAGCAAAATAATGAGGCCCAAGATAAAAAGACTACATACTTCTAAGAAGAGCTTTAAGAATACACAATGCGTTAAGAGAACTTAGTTTGAAGCAAAACAGTTCAAGCTGGTTTATGCTTCAATAGTTGAGAAGAATCTAGCTGTATCACTGTTTCAAAGAATACAGAAAGGTTAGAAACTGCTACAGCTGCTTTGATTTGAGCTACAATACCTTCCCCGTCGAAGTGGAGTGGTGAAAAATCGAGGTCCTATTTTGGGCCATCTGCTGGGACTCCATTCACGATCAGGACTAAACCGATGAGGAATACCAGCAAAAACCTCATTTCCTACCTTGTCCATGAAATCCAGGATGATGGACAGGAAAAAGGAGGGAAAATATTGAGTCATGCTACGAGGGAAAAAGAACTTCTGGATACTGACCTGCCTTTACGACTTGGTGATATACTGAACCTTGGTCCAATGTGGGGCCATTTCTCTGGAGTTTTCTCTCGTTCAGGGGTAGATCTGATAGGATGCACACACACATACAAATCCATGACATGCATGTCAAGTCCAGAAAACTCACATGACATTTGTGCAACAAGAAGAAAACTTCATGCAACATTCAAGGATGCAGTTGTACCTCTATCAAAAACTTACAAGATTAAATGTGGCTGAATTTGCATTTCATAGTAATTGCAGCATTTTCATGCTGCATTTCGACAGAAACTTAATAAATAACTTAATAAATAAAGAAATAACTAGAAATACAAAATTGTCCTCATGATGATGGGGGAAAGCCCACATGATTAGAAAGTAATAGTATTAAAGTTGTGTATGAGGCCAGTCTTTTTCCTGTGCTAATTCTCACAGTAACGCTTTGCTAAAATGGGGGCGACTGCACAATCATGCAGTGTAGCAAGGCCAGCAGAAAATGCAGAGGTAACTCATGGCAAATAAGAGAAAGATGGTGCAATTAAGAACCCACTAACCTTGCCCCTGACATCCAGGGCTTGGGATACTCCCTGCTTGGTGAAAACTCACGGCCAGGAGAAAGCCGACTGGACAGAAACCAAGACAGACATACTCCTTGCAACTACGGATTTCACACTGACTTGTACTAACTAGATCCTAAGCATCAGCACGCAACAGTGAGCCACAGCTATAACATGATACATATGCTTTACCCCAATGAACCACCAGTTTTCTTGAATTCAAAAGTTACAAATTCCAATAAGCATCAACTCTATGGGCTTTGGCAGAAATATAACTTAAACTCAATTGACTCAAGTGACCTGCACTACCACAACTAGCAAATAGCAATGATTGAAAGGAAAGCTCAGTGTGCCCAATCTATATGATCCTCAAACAGCAATGAGACAACATAGAAGCCACAAATGTAGTAAGCTCATCGTCCAGTACCACATATAGCTTACTTCTTGCCAAGTATTTATTTGTGATCTCAAATGAGAGCAGTGTTGGGGAGCATCTTATACTAAATCCAGTATTTTGTATCACATCTACATATTATACACACCATGGCTAAAAAGAGTCCTAACTTCCTAGAAATACAACATATCATGGCAGAAACTTCCCTGTGGACATATTCATGGTCCCCACAACCACAACACAATGGTCAATTGTTTGTGTTTCAGAGACTGGTTTCTTGCATTTGCATCAGAACTGACATTGTGCATTCATGATCTTAATTACACTTGTGAGCTCACTTCACTAATTTTGCTTTCTCCTGCATGAACATCATTTATCAATCCTAAATGTCAAACTTGAGTTACAGAGTCACAAATACTTTACAGATTTTCATTCATCTCATTTATACTTGAGATATTTCTCTTTTTCAAAGTACTGTTTGTTTTAAAACACCCTGTACAGTAAAGCAGTGCTTCTCAACCATTATGTCTTTGCAGATCAGTTCAATATTCCCAAATTTTGTAAACTGGCAGGTTTGCCCCTGCAGAAATTATGGAAAGGCAGATTCAACCACATTCCACCTCCTCCTTCCCCCCTGGCCCCAAACTCTTCATTCTCTCATGTTACCATGCCCCACACTCTTGAATATAAAATGAGGTAACTGTCTCAGAATGATAGGCTGTGTACAAGGGAGGCAATTGTGTGCAAGGGACTAGGAAATCTATAAGTAAACTGCACTTTAAAATAATTTAAATGCTAAATTCTCTCAAATTACTGATGATCTTGCAGAATAGCAATGTGTGAATGAGGGACTGGCACCAGTCAGTGAAACATCAGTTGATAAATATGTCAGTAAAGTACTGATATCGGAGTCAGATTTTTTGTAGCACCCACTTCTGTATCTAGAATAGGGATGGGTTATTGACCAGCTGCACCAATCAAATGACTAGTCCATAAGGCTTACACTCGAGTGGTTTCTTCCTTCACAGTTTTGCCCTCCCACTTGGATGTCACAATTCACATGTCATAACTAATTCTTCTTTGAGAATGCAGAGGTCTCATTAGGCCTCTAAGGCTGTTGGGTAGATGTTGAACCATAGCCTTGTAATTCAGTAAGACTGCAAGATGTAGCAGCAGCCTAGGCCTGCACACATATCCAGATTGTGAGAGTGGTATGTGATGGGTTTAAAAAAATGGTCACTGCTGCACAGCTCCTTTATTTTTCCAGAAGCAGCACTGCATAGCTGGGTGCTAAATGAAAAATGTGGAACTTTTTGGCTCATCTACAGGTAGTAGAATAAGTACCTACCACAATGTTTACATTCCCAACAGGTGCCACAGCAATGATGCTGGGTGGGCTGCATGATTGTAACTTGAAAGTGGAACTGGCACCATGGCTTTTGTGTAGCAAAATGACTGCAGCATCAAACATGATATAATTTTTAGATGTGAATTAATATTTCAATAAATATTGGTCAACACTGGCCAATAAAAATGTTGCCAATTGAACAGTACATTGACTAGTCACCTGAGTGTCCCATCCCATATCTAGATCCAGTCCTAATTCTGTACTTCAGCATCATCTTTTTGATACAAATTTTATCATGTAACTACACTCTTATCAACAAGGGTTGTCCTTTAAATATTATGACTGGCGACAATGCACCATTTCTACCATTCATGCCAACTACCCATGGAAACGGATTCAAATACTTGACTTCATTACATAAGAGAAATTTCAGCCACATTGACATGTTCTTGTGTGAGTTAGAAACATTTGCAATTATGACATCCATTTGCAATGAAAGTTTCACTGGAAAGAGAAACAGTGCAAAACAGTTCACACCTGTGTCAAGTGTATTATGTTTGTAACAGACATCTTTGCTGGAATTAATGCTTAATATGGTGGTGACTGCATACAGTGTGCCATTGGACTTGAGTCCTGCAGGACCATATGCCTGAACTCTTGCAAGATAAGTGGTTCCTGACAACAATGTTCACCTACATATAATTTTAGCAATAAAAGATATTATGGAGGCAGCTGGTGTTGAAACCCTACCACATCCTTCTTATTCCCATAGCTTGGCTCCTTGCGATTTTCAGTTTCCTACCAAATTAAAAAGCAAGCCAAAAGGACACCAACTCAAGCACAAATTCAGACTTCAAAGCAGTTGTGACAAAGGAACTTCAATGCATGTCGGTAAATGGCATGCAGGGCACACATGATGCATGGACATATTACTGGGGGAAATGCATTGCTACATTGTGTAAATGTTGAAAAAGTGCAGGTTCACCAAGACCTGGACATGAAAGGGAAGGCTGCATATAATTCAGCCTTAACATTAAAAGGACAACTCTCATAGATACTTTTTAATAGCATCTTACTTGCCACTGACTGCATGAGAATGTACAAGAATGAGAACTCCAATATATATCCTTAACTGGCTCAGTGCTGAAGCTCAATGTACAGCTGAGAAATCAGATCTATGACAAACACTGTCATAGACTTTAAATTTACTAAGAAAACCTCATCATAGAGGGTAATAATACAATTGAATGCAACTGATCAATGACTGAAAAAGTGCACAGAAAGACAAAAGTACCTGGATCTCCTGGATGCTGCATCATGCTCAGGAGATGACTCCCTGCTTGGTGTCTCTGGCTCACGACTGAAGGAAAACAGTCACATGCAACATTCATCACATGATCCCTGGTGCTACCATGCATGTCATGATCAAGGTGCCATGTCAAATGACATCATATGACAAGACAAAAATGACTCAGTGTATACTGGGATGTGGTTGTGAAGTATACCCGAAAATGACAGAAGTGCTCATGAGAAAATTTTCACTCCATGCAGATGTGGCATGACAGAAAATTCATCAAACCTTGCTTGCCGAGAAGCTTTTGATGCTTTCCTATCCTTGATTCCTGGAGGAATGGTTGTAGAGACCCGCTTTGGTTTGCAAATCCTGTCTACATCTGGTTGCCTCTTGGCCATGTCTTCCATGAATTCCTGAATTTAAATTGAAAAACAGGTCAAAGTAAAATATCTTCTCGTACAGTCTTTAAAGGAAGACGGAGATGATAGCATTATTTTTCGCTAGGGACAAGAGGAGGGGAAGCTGTCTTAATGGTTATTTAACAACATAACAGTAATTTCATAAATAACTCAGGCACTTACTCAACAAGCCACCTCTCCATAACCTGGTTTTTTGGACCTCTATTGCATCAACATGGAATCTAAAATAAGTCACCTATTTTCCCATATTCAAATATGGATTCAGTTATTCCACTTCTGTTACTGTTAATGCCAAATCACTATATAGTTTGGCAATTGTTGGACAAGCAAACCATAATTGAGATACAGCACTCTAACCTACTGACTAATTTTTCCAGTTTCAGTTCGAGCCCCAACGTTTATCAACTTTCAGCTATCACCTCCCCAGAGTAGCCCATTACTTGCATAAACACATCCATTCACTCAAACTCCTACACAATGACGAACTACCAAAAACAGTGCAAAATCCACTCTCCAAGATCACACTGACATAAGCATAATAATAAATCAAATGCAATTATTATATCATGATAAACTCTCTGGACATGACACTAAGCTGTATCCAAGTGTTGGGTATTTTATCAGCATGGCAGATGAGACTCTTGCTGTCCAATGGTCAACATGCCTCATGGATCATAGGATCACTATGTGCACTTAGTGTAGAAGACAGTGGTATTATTGCAGTTGGTGCTCTTCTAATTTTGTCACTATTGCAGTTGGTGCTCTACCAACTTTCCCTCCAATTTTTCAATTTGTTGGCCCATTCCAAGCAAACAGATCAAATCAGCCATTACATATATACATTTCTACTACTGCTGAGAAAGTTTTCAAAGACTGCAGAGCAAGTAGATAAACAGAAATCTAGTTGGCAGCAAGTAGTGCAGACAGGCACCTTGTAGAACACCAACTATGATATGAATTCTATGGTCTAGACAGAGAAACCCAAAGAGAGAGTCTACAAGACCAGATCATACCCCAAGGGTACAGAAATATTCAGACAGCAGGAGACCAGAAAGTGAAAGGGTAGATCACTGGTGGATGTAAAGCACCAACTGCAATAAAATCGAACCAACAGCTGCGGCAGTCAGAAAATTTCAATTTTGTCAGCAACTTCCACAAAGACATTAACATGTCTTATGGACTTGACAAATGCACAAAGCACTCTGTCTACTGAGGAATTCCAACCCAATTGGGATACTTCACCACTACCAACAAAGGAACTCTGAGAGTTCACATCACCTGACACCTGCAGGTACCAAGGTGTGGAAGAGAACTCTTCCATGACCAATATGCAAGTCAAGCAAAAGCAGATAACAGTACTAGCAGGGTTTGAAATGCACAGGAGCCTGAGGGGTAGAGGTTCCTGTGACAGAGAGACATCCAAACTACTATCTTGGAGTCTCGGGTTCCTATGAATTTTGAACTCTGACAAATGTAGAATGTAGTGAAGACAGAGCTGTCAAGCAGAAGAGCTCAATTGTCAATAGGCTTGCCACACATCCTCAGCTATAGCTTTGGTGTTCTGGATTGGTCACTCACTGAATTCCAGACAAGGGTGTGGCGAGGATGATATAGTGTAGCTGGCACATTCCACCATTTTCATTGTGTTCATAGAAAATAATATGTGCTAAATAACCCTTGTTGTGACTCACTTGATGTTCTTGGATGAGCTGTTCAATGATTGGCAGATCATCTGGAAGAGGCTGAGATTCCAATGAGACCAAAGTGTTCTCACAGGAATTCAGATATCGCATGAGCTCTTCCAGAAGCTTGGCAAGGTCCTGCAGCATATCCAGGTGTTGTTGAAGTCTCTGCTCACGCTGCTTAGCCCATGATGAGACATCTTCCCATCGACTCTGAATAATGCTCATCCAGTGCTTGATGACTGAAACACCATCTGGGTGACATTTGCCAAAAATACTTTGGGCTAGCTTGATTGTGTTATCCTTCTCTCGCTCCTTCATCTGCATCTCTGCCATAAATCTGTAGTCATGGAGAAAGGAAATTATAGGCACATAGTTTCATAACGATAATGATATCCATCTCCTCAACATTGATGCCATCAAAGAGACTCACTTGCGATGATCAACAAGCTGCTGTCGAGTTTCTTCTTCAGTGTCAGGAAGTGGTCCAGCGAAGCGTAGCTTCATTTCTGCATCAGATAACCACTCCAGAAGCATGTGAACAGCTTTGTGCAACTCTTCTGCCTGCTTGAGTGCATCTGCCAACCTAGAGGCCTTGGTGCGACTCAACCTATCTACTTTCTCCCAAAGGCTAGACAGTTCTCTTGTTTGGTCACGAATGCCAGAGGCATCTCCAGGACTAGCACTTTTTAGCAACTCCTGAGCAGTATTCTGAACTGATGACACCTGACTGGACCTCTTGCTAAGTTCATTTTCAAAGGCCTGAAAGAAAAAAATCCCAGAAAGATAAGCAAAAACCCCATTCCCACTTTGAAAGAACATATGTGATCTATGGAATTATGACAAACCTTGTGCTGCTCTACCAAAGCCATCACAGTATCTAAATCGCCATGAACAGGGGTCTCATGGCTAAGATCTTTTTCTGCTTTCTTCAACCAGTCCAGGAGAGCACCAATAGCTTCCTTAAACTGACCAGAGAACAGCAATGCCTCTTCCAGCTTATTTTGTCTGCAAGAGCAAAAAGGCATTGACCTGGAGAGACCAATCAGACTGGAGTCACAAAAAATACAAACATCACTTGCCTGTCTACAGAGTGGTTACAAACAGCATTCCACTTGTTCTTTAATTCAGTCAACATATCCTGGAGCTTAGACTGGTCTCCCTTTGGAGCCTTGTCCTTCAAAGCTCTGCCCATCTTCAAGGTGTTATCATAAGCAGGCTGCTTTGCACCAAGCTGTCTTTGGAATTCCTTATGCTTGGACAACAACTGCTTGATCTTCTCTGGATCATTGCCCAAAGTGGCTGTGATCTCATCCAGCTTAGTTTGAGCATTATCAAGCCATTGAATGAGGTCTACCCAAGCATCATGGAATGCCTTTGCTTCCTTGTAGCCATGATCTAGGGCCCTAGTTCGCTCAGCGGACTTGGACACCACCCTCTCCCACCGATGCTGGACACTAATGAGGAGATTCTTGATCAGGATCACATCCTGCTTTTGGCTGAAGTACTTGAGGTGGGTTCCCTTTTTGTCCAAGTTGAGCATCACTTCTCGATGAGCACCGATTTCTTTCTGGAATGCCTTGTGCTCTTCAATCTGTTCTAGGATAGTGTCCATGACCCTACTCACAGGGCTGAGGTTGCTCAGAAGTTTCTCTGCATTGGTGAGCCAATCAACAAATTCCTGAAGAGCCTCATGAAATTCTGTTGCTTCTTTCAAGGCAATCTCCAGCTTTATTTTCTTGTCATTTGCTCGATTGAGTACATTATCCCAGCGTTGCTTAAGAGTGCGGAGATTATGTTGTAGGTTGGAAGCAGAACCTTCTGTGGAACGTTTGAGGTAGTCATTACCCTGTTGGAGAACAGTTTCCACCTTTGGTCTCATGCGTTCCAAATCATCAAACACCTCCATGAATCGTGCCAGCTGTTCCTTTGCAGTCTCAGGCAGACCACCAACGGGTTTAGAAGTACTCAGTGCACTGTCTACATCCCCAAGCCAGAGGAGGAGATCCTGGATTTCAGCATTGAAAGCCTGTGCTTCTCTTAGAGCATCTTCTAGTTCTCTCTGCCTATCAACTGCTTTTTGTTGGAGATGGTTCCATCGATTGTTCAACTGGTTTAACTTCTGCTGAGTTACAGATGCATCCTCAGAGCCTTTATCACTCTCAATCAGCTGGCGGCCAGCATTATTCAGCGTATCCACACTAGTCTGGTGAGCTTGGATGTCATTGACCAGGACCTGGAGGAATAAGTAGTTTTCCCAATTATAAATCCAAAGTTCACAAAATCATAACCTTTAATACAAGGGTATCAACATGAATGAGTTGAAAATAGCATCCTCTTGTACCTTTAACTTGGCCAGTTCCACTTCAATCACTGCAGGGTCACCAAAGACTGGCTTGAGGCCATCGAGAGTGTTTTCAGTTCTGCTGATCCAAACCATCAATTCATCAAGGGCATGCTGGAACTGTCCAAGACGGAGCAAGGCTTGTTCCAGCTCCCTCTGCCTGTCAACAATGCCCTTCAAGAGGCCATCCCACCGAGCATTTACATCAGCCAGTGGCTCCTTGATGCGGCGAGCTTGATCATGAGATGTACGGGCAGTTAATTCTTGAGCTTGCCTAGTAAAACAGGTCAGCACAATATATATCAGTGGTAATGCATTAATCTCTATAAATCCATCCTCCAAAAATGTAAGAATCCATAGGGAAAAGGAAGTCATCATACCTATTCAAGGCTTCCACTTTCACCATGTGTGGGTCAACTTCATTCTTGAAATCTTTGAGCTGCTTAATCTGGGTCTTGACCATCCCAATATCAGATCCCAGAGGACCAAGCTTAGCAAACTTCTCTTCAGCAGTGTCAAGGAAGTCCAGAATACCCTATTGATTGAGCAGATAGCAAGATAAAGCCATTTCGTTCAGATAAAATATTCTACCAACTGAGTAAATGAAGCAGAATATAATTGAGATGTCATACCTGGAGGGTATCATGAAATTCCATGGCCTTCTCCATGGCATCAATGAGATTCTCCTCTCTCTTAGCATACAATGCAGTGACATTGTCCCAGGCATGGTCCAAGTCCTGGATATGCTGTTTCACCTCTGGTTTGTCTGGCTCACCACAAACATTCATCAGTTTCTGGCCAGTCTTTCTGCATTGTTCAACTTCAGGCTTGGTCTGAACAAATGTTTGAGAGGAGGTCAATTTAGGTCAATATTTACCCCAAAATATGAGGCAATGATGAAAGAGGAGAAAACCATGGTCTCACCTGATCAATTTCCTGCTTTATCTCCTTCAGGGCTGACTGCTGTCGCTGAATTGCTCTTGGTTCAACTGCAGGAGGTTCCTGAGTATTAAGTGTTTCTTGGAGGTCTTTCAAGGCTCTCATGACTCCTTGCAACTCATCCCAGAATCTTTCAGCTAAGTTCAATGCATCTTCCAAGCTTTGCCCTCGGGTTGTAGCTGCATCTTGAATATGATCCCAGAGGGATGACAGCCGTTCCAGCTTGGCTTTGATGTCTGCAAGGACATAAAACAGAGGATACTTGAGTTGTGGATGAATGGGAAAATCTCAGATTATACAGGGTGCCCCAAATGTAACTTCACACTTTTAAGTGAAAATCTTGTTTGGATATTTAGACTCACTATTTGTCATGTAAAATTTTGTATACATTGTTAAAGGTTTGAGGATATCACTGACCCCTTAAGATGTCATGTCTAAGTAAGCAGCAACAAATTTTTTTTACTAATGTGTCATTTTTATATCAATAATCTTTTGGACTTGAAAGTGGAAAGTTACATTAGGGCCACCCTGATATAGTTCCTTTGACACACCTCTGACAGCTGGATCAGAGGAGCTACCAGCCTTGCTGATGACATCATGAGCTGCCCTTTTCACTGCTTCATATGCACTCTCTCGCTTGTCAAGGTCTTCCAAAATGGCTGCATTCTCGGCAATCTGTTCTTGGATCTTGTCCGGATGGGCTGAAATTGGTTCTGCATTGTTCACCTGATCAGCAGTGTTGGCAAGTGCAGAAAGCATGCCATCCAATTTATCACTAAATTGGCTTGTCTCTTGCATGGCATCTTCAAGGGCCTGTTGCCTCTCCCGCAATCCAACCTTGAGGGCATTGTATCGCTGGTTATCAATGTCCATTATGTCCTGAACTTTGGCAGCCTCCTCTTCTGCACACAAGCGCCCAAGTGTTGTGCCTGTCTTGTTCAACTTATCCACCAAAGGCTTGTGTTCACTGATGGCTTGTAGCATGGCCTGAAGAGAATAGAAAGTAACTTATATAAGAGTAAATACACCAGTGAATTTTTAAGGAAAATACTTATTCACAGAAGGTAGGTCTAGCATTATTTCAATCATTCTAAATACATCATTAATGAAAGTCCTCTGTGAGGCAGAGTGAGAAACAAAGAACATACATTATTCCTCTCTTGTTGTTTCAAGATTTGATCTGCCCTGAGACCAGGACTATCCATCACCAAGGCAGTCTGCTCCATTTCATCCAGCCAGTTGCTCAGATCATTGTGAGTCTCAAAGAAATGCTCAGCAAGAGGCAGTGCTTGCTCTAAGATACTCAACCTATCAGCAGCCAACCGAGACACATTCTCCATTGTCTCCTTCAAGTCATCCATCTTCTCACGCAAGATGAGACTGTCCTCAGTTTGTGGAGCCTCACGCAACAACTGAAATACAAAACATAAAAAGTTATTGAGGTAGTTTTGTGGAAATTTCATTGCAAGGAGTGTTATGTCCACAAGGTCTCTCACCTTCTTCGCAGCAGCAAGGACATCACGAACACGACCTTTCTGGGATGAGATGTCATCTGTGAGGGCTCTGTGCTCTTTGAGCTGTATGCGAATGATCTCATGGTCACAGGATGGTGGCTCTGCTTCCTGAAGTTGACCTTCAGCTTCACGGAACCATTCCAGTAGTTCATCCACATCATTCACAACTTCCAAAGACCTCTAGAAAAAACAAAATCCAAAATTGCATCATGTTAACTAAATATTACATTCAAGTGTGTGTGTGTGTGTGAGGGGGGGAGGGGGAAATACAATCATCATGTTCAAACCTGTTTGGAGAGCTGGATTCTTTCAGCTCTTCTCTGGACCTGCTCACAAACTGCTTCAAATCTCCTGTTGTCCTTAGTCACAAGAGATTCGATGGTGACTGCTCCCTCTCCAGGTGATATGTGGCAGAGTTGTGGGCCAAGACTATTCACAGATTCCAAGAGGCTTCGATTTTGTGAAATTTCATTCTCTAGCCGGCGGACTTCTTTCTCTTGAAGGTGTAGTTCAGTTGAACCCATAGAAGACAAAAGGCTTTCAGCATCTCCAAGCCATTCATTGAGCTTGCCGTGATCCTTGTGGAAGCGACGCACCAAAGGTAATGCTTCCTGTGCATGGCGGAGAAGGTTGGAGGCCTTGCTTGTCAGGTCATTGTACTTGCGCTGAATGGAATCAAGCTTGTCCTTAAGCTGTATTGCTTCTTCATTTGAAATGTGCTTCATGAGTTCCAAGCCAGAATCCACAACATCATCAACTTGTTTCTGATGAGCTGCAACTTCTTCTGTCAACTCCTAAGAAGGTACCACAAGTTATTTATCTTGTACAGGTTTCAGCAAAAACATTCTATGTATGCTCATTAACTTACTGTCAATTCATCCATTTGCTGCAAGAGGGTGTCGTCATAGACAGAGAGAACCTTAAACCTAGCCAGTCGTTGCTCCATGTCTTCGAGCCATGCAAGCAAGTCCTCATAGCTCAAGACAAGGTGCCTCAAGCCAGCCTTAGAAGACTTTAGAAGCTCACCCAGCTGCTCTGATTCATCCACCAGAGTTGCATACCGATCTACAGATAAGAATAAGTTATCATTTACTTTTCTTGCCATATGGGACAGAAACATGAGAATAAATAAGAGATAGTAAAAACACACCAGTGGCATCTTGAACCTTGTCAGCTACCATTTGAGCATCATCATCACCAACAAGTGACATAAGGGCAGTTGCTGTATCTGCAGTTTCATCAAATTTTGGTTTCATGGCAAGAATGTCATCATTCAGAATCTGGAAAAAGGCATTAGGGAATAAGTCATTCATAAAACAACAGAATCCTTTTGTGCTGAAAGCCAGTAGATGCTTGTGTCAGAAAAGGTAAACCTGATGTTCTTCTATTAGTCGCTGAATCTTATCCTCATCAGTAGGAATAGTTTCCATCTCATGGATTTTCTTCTCTGCCTTCTCCATGAAGTCTGTTAAAGGATATATTTTATCTTGGAAGTCTTTGGCAACTTCCATAGTTTGCTCCAGCATTTCCATTCTTGCCTTTGCTGCATTCTGCAGTGCATCAAACCTGAAAGTGAGATTGGAAAGCCTTCATACACATATAACAAAACAAGAAACTGATATTTTAGGTTCAATAGTTGAAACCGATGCCAAAATTAACAAACCTCAGCATTAGGTCCTTTAATTGATTTTCAATTTGCTTCCTCTCCATTGGCTCTGCACTAGCAGCAATCTCCTTGCCCATGTCTGATACAGAATTCAGGGAATTCTGTCGATCCATCAGCATCTTGTTCAAGAACTATAATGAAAAGTAGTGTTATATTCTGTTATTTCCAGTCAAAGGGAAGTGCATCCTTCTGCTAATCCTTTCAGAAAGCATTCCAGATATGATAGAAACTTATTAATTACAAGAATTAAGTAAAATGAACATAATAAACTCCTTTATAAATCATCAGATACTTTTAGTTTCTATAAAGGAACTTTCTATAATTTTGGAGCTAAAAATTGATAAGATTATTTGAATGATTATTCACTGCAAGTTTTAATCATAATTAATAAATAAAAAAGGTAACCTAATACCACCTCATAAGGATCACACTATGATGTGATACAATTTCATAATTATCAATAAACAAGATGTCCAAAACTGGTACTACTATATCAGGTGAGGTAAAAAAAAACTTGCCACTCTTAGAGATTCTTTGGAGTTCAGGAGATGGCAGATAGCACAGCAAAGTTTTTATTATTATTATAAACAACTTCTATGTATCCTTGAAATGTCCAAAATGTAATGTTCATTTTTCTCCAATCATTTTTGCATGTGTGATTATGTGAAGGCAACTTGAACTTTAATTTTGCATGAAGAAACATATAGCAGGAGAGTGGTCAGTAGGCATTGAGCATACCAATCTCTGGCCAGAGCTCCTCCATCTGCACATGAAAATGCTGTTCCTTGCAAAGGGATGGGGGGAGAAAGAATTTTCTGGTAAGGGATGAAAGAAACGCAGACCTATGGTTAAGAGACTGATTCACAAATTGTGAGAAATTCCTTCATCTAAGAGGGAGTAGAAGACTAAAATTAGCTGAAACTGAAGGAAACTGCATTTGTGTGGAAGAAGTCATTGCTTCTCAAGATGATAATCCAGGGATGCAAAATTCCCATTGGCAAATTGCCAGATGCAAGAAGTCAGAGATCTGCTCAGTAGATTCTGAAGTACAGAAGGGAAAAAAAAGAAGAAAAAAGTGGTCATTCCTAATCAGTAGTATAGGTCCTCCTATCAGTGTCCAGGTGTGAGTATAAAAATAAAATTCCAATTGCTTTCGTCAAATCAATTATGCAGTAAAATGGCTAAAGACAACAATTTTAGGAATGTTGAGGAATGCATAGAGTTACAAAATAAACTTTGCTGTGCTGGCTGCTGTTTCTGAGGTACAAAAATGTTCACAGAACAGTGCTTTTTTTTTCCTCACCTAGTACATTGATTGCATAGACTTGGAGGTTAGGGCAGTATGACTTCAAATGGAGAAAATGCCAATTTGAGAATTGAGATAAAAGTAAAATAAGTATTTTCAAAATGAAATGTTTCATGGCAGTAAGAATGTACAATTGTAACACCTCACATTAGTTTAGGCATTCCATATTTGTAGAATAATGAAAACAACATCAAATTTGCAAAAATATATCAAAAGTTCATTACCTTTTTTCCTTGGGGAGAGTGAAATATACTTAGAATATACATTTTTCTTTCCTTCCTTATTTACCTACAAATCCTTGAGATCCCCAAAAAATATATGCATGAGTGAGCATAATGCTTGGAAATAAAGATACCTTCTTAGGACTTCAGAAGGATAAAACCAAAAAAAGAGATTCAATATAAGCCTTAGGTCACTCAGGTTCCATAAGTCAAATATAACTTAATATTTATAGCAGAACCATAACAAACCTTCTGCTCCTGGAGTTGTGCCTTCACAACCTTGTAATCAGCGGATGGTGGCTTCTGATTTGCTACCATCTCCTCGGTGTCAGTCAACCATTTTTCAAGCCCATGAAGAGCTTCCTGGAACTTCCCACTTTGAAGAAGACCAACATCTAACCTCCTCTCACGATCATGAAGCTGCAACATATAATAATGACCCTAGAGTCACTTGTCCATATTCAATACCCAAGGCAAAAATTCAGCATTACTGCACAGGCAAGTCTCAAACATAGAACAGCTAAAAAAAAGTCACCTTCTCTTTCAGAGAATTCCACTTCTCATTCATCTTCTCTAGATCTGATTCCATTGCAGATGTGTTGACTCCAGATGCAGCAGACTGAATGAGCCCTTGTCCCTGTTTGTTGCATGCATCTACTTGATTGTTTATTGGCTCAATACGGCGGCTGCGGAAGCTGGCAAATTCATGCTTCTGTTGCCTGATGGTATCAACATCTCCACCAATGGGCTTGAAGTTTCTGACCTCATTTGCCACCTGAACAGAAAGAAATCAAGCCACAGCACACACAATGAATAGGAGGATCAAGCTCATATCACAGACACCAGCTAGTGTACTACAAAACCAAAGATAAGGAAATTGATAACTTTTTCTCTTCAAATATTGTGACATGGGAATTTCCATATCTAAATTCAATATGGTTGAATTTGCTAAGAGTGTCACACAAAGCAACAGAAATCAGAGGAAATGAACATACATCATTAATATCACCCATGACTGCCTGAAAGAGGTTGTAGAAGGAGCCAACTCGAGCAAGGGCATGATCAATATCATCTGAACGAGTTTTGCCCCTCTCCTGAAGACGGTTGAGCTGCTTCTCGAGATTGCTCAGCTGTTCCTGTGCTGCCTTGGCATTAGATGAATAACCTTCAGCAGCCAAATCTCGACAGAGCTGGCTTACATCCTTCAATTCTTCTTCTTTTTGTTGGGTCTTGAATAGAAATTTCTGAAAGAGATAGAGTGTCATAAGTTACAAAAATTCATTTCTGCATTGAAGCCTGATCTTAACCTCCTGGTAATCAAAGCACCAGCTTCATGACCATCACCTACCTCTACCTCATCCTTCTGTTTCCTGAGTGTGTGCAAGTCCCTAGCAATTGGCTTCATGCTCTCAAGTTCTTCTTCAAGGCCACCGAGACTGGCAGTCAGTGACTTCACATGTTCCTGAACACAGAATCAACCACAGCATTAAACCAGTGATCTCCACACAAAGGTTTTTATTGGAACAAGAACCTAATTCACCCTCACCTTGACTTGTGCTACAGCCTGAGCGGCAGCCTCCAGGTCCTGTGATCTGTCCTGAAGCCCTTGTCGTAGTTGATCATACTTATCTTTTAGCTTATGAACTTCATCTTGGATGTGATGAGCATCAGCACCCAAGGCATCAGCTTCATGAGTGAGAGCCCCAGCATAATCCTCCACAGCCCTCAGAGGCTGCTCAAGTTGTCTTGTCTCATTGTACAAACTCTGGAGGGAATCAGCAAGATATGTTATGCAAGTCTTACGTAGAGTCACATGCGTATGTATTTGAAAATGGACCCTTACCTTCATCCTGTTGAGCAACTTTGGATCCTTAGCAGCATCTCCAAGAGCATCATGAGATGCAACAGAATCTTCAATCCTCTGCAACTTGTGACCAAGATCCCTGGCCTTGTCATTATAATCCTGAAGACGTTGAGAAACATCTTCAAGGGCTTGTAACCTCCCGAGGACAGCTACAAAATACTCATGGATTCATACAGGTTCTTGAAGAATGAAATAATAGATGTGACAGAAAATGAAGGTCAATGATACAAAGTAGTAGATTTGATCAATTTCATAACAGAGTACATAGAAATGTACCATTATTCAGTTTGTCCCAGCGATCCCTCATATCTTTCAAGTCTCCCTTGACACCTTCCTTGTCTCTGTCAGTAGCAGCCAATAAAGCCTCTCCAAGGGTCTTGTTGTTTTCATATTCTTGTGAATGACGAGACAGCTCATTCTTAAAGGCTTGCATCTCTTTGATCTGACGATCCAAATCAGGTTTCTTGAAGCTAACTGCTTGCATGCGAGAGAGCTTGCTTTCCACATCATCAAGCCATGGGAGGAACATACTTTGGGCAGTCAGGAACTTGCGACATTGCTCCTGAAATTAAAGTTTTTGGGTATCATGAGGTATCCATGACTTCCCCAATGAGGCATCACAAAATTCCCTATACAAACAAGATTCAGAACCACACCATGCATGTTGTGAGTCTGTTGTGACGCTCAACTGCTTCTCGTTTCAGGCGATCCCATTGGCGCTGAACGGAGTCCATACTCTTCTGTAGACCACGCGTGTCTCTTCCTGATCCACGACTACTTATATCCTGAGATTTGTTTACCAGCATGATCACCTCATGCTCCCTGCTCATGATTTCCTTGTAGATGGGCTGGAATTGAGAACAGAAGTTTTCATACTTTCTACCTCAAGGAACTTCAGAGATACAGAAAAGGAGTCAAGAAAATACTCACCTCATATTCTTCCACTTGGTTTTTAAGCACTTCATGGTCTGCAGACACAAGGAGCTTGTCAGACAAATGAGTCTGCATCTCCTTTAGCCAGTCCAGTAGAGACAAGCACATATCAGCAAGTTCTTTCTCATCCCTGAGAGAGGACTCCAGCTCAGCTCTGCGGTTCTCTATATTGGTACAAAAAGCAAAACAATTTATGGAATTATACATTCCTTCATAAACGGGCTAAAGGATAGCTGGTCTACCAGAGCAACAGAAAATTGGTCTTTTACATATTCAATTCCCTTTCACTGAATATAGTTTAATGGATTCCTGCAGGTGAAAAACTGGTCTATCTATATGCATGATTTTTTCTAGCTTTCAGAGGACAGTCACATCAATCTTCACTCTTTCCTCTAGAAGCATGAAAAACAAATTTTCACTGATGGATCTGTCTCCCTTTTAGCTCTTCACATTATATTTCCAGGTGCCTCAATAAAATGTCAGTATCTTACCAATCTTTCTCTGAAGTTGATTGTACATCCTTCCAACATTTCCAAGTGTGTTTCGTATCTCATTCTTTGCCGCAGCATCAGCCAGAATGTCAGATAGGTTTTCTCCAAGGCTTTCAACTTCCGTCAGGAGAGGCCGCTGTTTATCCAGATCATTCTCCAATTTCTAGATAAATCAGGATGAAAGACAGAAGTATAAAAGTTCCAATAATCCACAATTCCGTAGGTTCTGTATATAAGAGACAATGATTACTAAAACACACAAAGTAGATGTACATATAGGTATGTGTCAAAGAATGAAGTCCTACCTCTAGCTTGCGAAGCTGGTTGTCAACATCTTGCCCAGGTGGTCCAAGATCTTCAAATTCATCAGACAATTTCTGAAGATTGTTTTGCAGCTGATTGAGTGCTACATTGAAGTCTTTGCTGGCAGCAGCTGCTGCACTAAGAGCATCTTGGCGTTTGTCAAGAAGACCAAGTAGCTGATCCCACTGTTCATTAATAGCATTGAGCTTATCTGAGACTTTCCGTGCTTCAGGGCTGCCTGTATCTAAATTCTCCAAGATGGACTCTCCCAATTTATTCAGATGCTGAAGCTGTGGGTAGTGTGCACTGAAGTCATCTCGCAAAACCTGTACTTGCTGCAACTGATTTTCCACAATTCTAGTATCAGTGGCAATGGGACCAAGCACACTCATCATTTTACCCTTGGAGGTGAGCCAATTAGAGAAATTATCAGCCAACTCCAGAAATTCCTTGACTCGATCCAAGAAGGCCATTTTTTCTTTGCATAGACCATGCAAATCAGACCACTGTTCAATCACATCTTGCACCTGTTGCTCAAGATCAGAAGCACCAGCAGCTTTGCCATGCTTGTGCACCATCTCCAAACAATTTGTTCTAAGGCTATCTAGAGCAGGTTGATGGTTGTAAAGACTCTCCTGAATGTCTCTCACAGCACGCAACTGCTTGTCAGCCTCCTCTTTTGATTGGGGCACAGAATCTTTTGGCATTTGACGTGCCAGTCTATCTAAGGCAGCTCGAAGGTTGTTGATGGCATCCAGGTGCTTTCTCAGCTCATCTTTCACACTGTCCAGAGCATTTTGACGATCAGACAATTTCATGTCCAATAGATGGTAACGATTGTTGATCTCTGTCAGCTGCTGCTGGACAGGACTCAGCTCTTCCAAATGAACAGCAATGTCCTGAGATGGCCGACGGCTTCCAAATATGCTTCCTCTTCCACCGGGACTTCTGACATCAAGGGAGCCCTTCCTACTTGACACAGATGCAATAGAGGCACGCTTTGATGGTGTTAGAGAGCTCCTTCGGCGAGCAGGGCTCTCAGGTCTCTCAGCCCTTAATGCAGCCTCAAAGGCATTGCCGAGGTCATTGACTCTGTCAATAGTGGGGCCATAGTCACGATGTTCCTTGATCAATGGCTTCAAATCATCCACTTGGCGTCTCACTAGGTCAGATTCCATTGCAACTGGTGGCAAGCCTTCCACAATGCCTTCCATGTGAGTCATCCATTCCAGAACTTGATCTCTCAAGGCTTCATAGGCATTACGATGTTCATATCGGGACTGATTTAATTTCTGCTTTTCATCAAGTATGGCATTGAGTTCTTTCCACTGGGCTTCCAGAGTTTTTATTTGCTCCTTGATTGGCTGAGCATCTGTCACATCCTTCCTGCCAACAAGATTCTTGCCTTTGCGGATCATGTCCTCAAAATCATCTCTCTTGCTATCTCGGCTATGCACAAGGTCTACCACATGGGAGGATGTTGTGTCAATATCAACTTTTAGGCCTTCTGGGGAATCCAAAATTTCAGACAGTTCTGCAAACCATTCTTCAAAACCATGTGCAGCTGTGGAATAACTATCCAGATTGACCGAAACATCTTCCAGGAAAATGCTGCGGGCACTGCACTTCTCAACAAGCTTCTCATACTGAGACACCATATCTCGAAGTTTTCCTTCAATCTTCTTGGCTGTTCTATTGCCAGAGGAAGAAGCCATGAGCTCAGTGGCAGCCTGAGCCAAGGATTGAATGGTTGGGCGATGAGCATCAATATCATGATGTAGCACCTTTTGCTCTTGCAGCTGATCATTGAGTCTATCACGATTCAGGCTTGCTGGCTTCATCATTGTACGGAGCTGAGACTCTACCTGATTGAGCCAGTTCATCACTGAATCAATGCCATCACTGACACCTTGAGATGCAACTAAGGCTGACTCCAACTCCTGACCCTTCCCTCCAACTGCTCCTAGCAGCTGGTTATATCTGGCATCAAGATCTTGCATGGTTTGGTCAATATGTCTTCTCTCTTGTGGAGTCAAGGAACCTTCGAGTGAATCCAAAAGATTCTTCCCTGCTTGCTTAGTGCTGTCAAGAAGGCGACCTTGAGACAGAATGTCATTGTTCAACATCTTTACTTTATCCAGCTGATCCTGAATGGCTTTAGGTTCAGCAGCTATTGGTTCATTGACAAGCTTAGATGCCTTTGGCTCTACTTCCTTCAGCCAAGTCTTCATACGGTCCACACAGTCAGCATACATATGCTGCTTGTCTCCCACAGAAAGGAATTTCTCAGATAGTTTGTTGGCACGTGAAAGGAGATCTTGGAAGGCAGTAGACACATCTGCAACCTTGCGACGGACCTGGGAGTCTGAGGGTTCAATGTGTGAATACCTCTGAGGAAGACTTGTTCGGAATGCATTCAGGGTCTTCAAGTGATCCTGAAAAATAAAGAAGATGCTTACTCTCCTCACTTTGTTATGTTACTAAAACTTACATAAAGGTCCTTTAACCCTTTTGGCGTCAACCAGAGTACATACTCGTCCTAATGTCCACACTTAGGAACTTTTTTTCTCTTTGACGTGTGTATTGTAAGCGAAATCTGTTGGTGGAAAACTTTTCGTTTTTGAACTGCCTATGCTTTAGGATGAAGTTAAATGTTATTTCCTTACTAATATTATCATGGTGTTTATTTTTCGTCATGCTTGGAAGTGGCAAGCATGTATATTTGCGATTGGTTCAGTTTCTGTGTCACATAGTGAGAGTGTTATTAGTAATGTTGCTGGAGGATAGTTTGATGTTTTTGATCAGTCCTTGAGCGAGAGTGTGAGAGCAATGAGTCATATCGATGATCAGAATCCCTCAGGAAGTGCTCAAAACAATTAACATACTAGACCAATGGTTCCCAAATGTGGTATGCAAAAGGTTTCTAAATGTACTCTTTTTTTTTTTAAATCACACAATATTGTACTAGTCTTACGTACTCTGCAGGATTTGCATATGTGGGACAAGTGGTGGTACACTATATATGCACCCTGGACGCAAGAAGTACACAGAGGTCTTAAGTTTGGGGGTCACTGTACAAGACAACACCTCCAGAACTCCTGAATTTCACCCTTGCTTCCTAATGGAAGAACACTATTCAAGAGCAAGCCTCTTGCAATGACACAAGATGGTCAGAGTGCTACTAGGCTTAAGGTGATAAGCTCTCCATAAATTCCAAAGAGCATAGTGCTAAAAGTAAGTTTTCCCACCTTTCCTTCATCAAGGAATTTCTGAGCAGCCATGGTTAAGAAGCGGAGGTCTGCCTGATGAGCCATCACATCTCCCACTAAGTCCTTTGTGGTATCAGCATGGGATTTTAACTTTGGAAGATCAGAGAGGGCTTGCTCCTTTTCATGAAGCTTTCTACTTGCATCAGCTAGCCAGGTCTCAAAAGTGTTCAGCTCTGATCTGTAAACAGAACAGGATTAGTAGCTTATAACAAATAACTTTAGAACAAGAATTGTGAGCATAAAGAATGAGAGTGTGATTAAATACTGGAATTTGCTGAGTTCATCCAAAGCAGAATGCAACTTTTTGAGAAGCTGGTCACAATGGTCACTAGCTGACTCATAACGTTGCTTAAGCTCATCTCCATGACGTCTCAATTGAGCAATTTCATCAGGTGAAAGGAATTCTTGTCCTTCTTCCATGATATGCTGCATCTGGTCAACTGCGGTATGCATGGGACGGCTGTGTTCCTCAATGTCATTTGAAATTTGCTGAAGGAAGAAAACCACCAGCATGATTATTCATTCCCATTGACATTCTGTACAAGCCTCCCAACCTTGCAAAAGCTCCTTACCTTTAAGACATTGATCTGATTCCTCAATTTATCTACATTCTCCTTGGCAGGTTCCTGGGTGGCTAGCTTCTTCTCAGTTTCACCAACCCATGCAAGAAGCTTGTTGATTGTATCATCACAAAGCTTGTACTTCTCCTCCATGGCCAGCTATTTTTTTTAAAGAAAAAGATGAGAATTATGAATGCTGAACTGTAAAATAAATTTAAATGTATAGGATTAAAAATAGCAGTCAAGCCATAATTAAATGAAAAACATTCAAAGAAGCTTCTCTTGCCCATCTACTCATTCAATGCAAGAAAAAAACCTGCTACCTGAATTTTTGCAAAGTAAAAGTTAAAAAATTGCACATAAGATGCAATCCTTTCTTCACATGTTCAAGGATGAACATGATTTGTCACCAAACAAATCAAAACCATGCAAGGAATAAGGGAAACCTGGAAGGGAAATCATATTGCAATCACAGTACTTGTAGATAGTCCTCAAAACCAAGCATACCTAGAGGACATGTTCTTGTGAAGTACAAGCTAAACAGCAAATGGATAAATAATTATTGTATACACTTTATGGATCAGGTAAGAGTATCACTTGCCACTTGAATATCAAATTTTGGAGCCTTATGAAAAATGTATCACATTTTGGAGTTTTATCAATACTGCCATGCCCATAAAAAACTGACTTCCATGTCCTGCAGTATGCTTGGGTCATAGACAGGTGATTGAGGCTGTAAGCATGACACTGGAGCATCAATGGAATGTAACTGCCACTGGATTTTGCAAGAACAAGATTGACCCTACAATGAAGAATTGGAACATTGCATCAGATTCCCATAAAGAAGGATTAGCTGAGGATTATCCCAAGTGAGTAACTGGTAGCAGCCCATGTAGATATAAAGCATTGGTTAGGAATGGGAAGCATAAAATACCAATAATCAAATAGTCTGGGTTATGGAACTGGGAATAAGTGGAGGTAGAATGATTGATATTGTCATACCCAACGTTAATTCCCTCAAGCTCATGATCATACCCACAGCCAGCCAACTAAATGGGTGAAGTCAAGCGACAAGGCAGATCACATCAAGCTCCCAATTCAAGCCAAATTAAGCATGTTGAAGCCAGTCCTGAGCAGGCAACGGAGAATATGGAGCTTGGGAGAGCTCTCTTACCCTGGCTTCTGCTGTTAGTAGAAAACCTTTATTCATGGCATCCAAGAGACTCATCCTTTTCCCAGTAGATGGGTCGATCAACTCTCCAGTGATGGGATCCAGCAAACCTGCTTGTACAGCTTCAGCAAGGGATACAATCTTGCCAGACACAGGATCACGAATCACAGTGGTTGTTGGGTCTATAAGACCACTGTCCAGTGCTTCTTGCAAAGTCACAGCCCTCTCTCGGAATGGATCAGAGAATTTTCCTGTCTCTTGGTCAAACAGTCCATATTGGAGAGCTTCCATCAGAGAGAAAGGCCTTTCAGGCACTAATAACATTCCATTTTCTATTGCCATGTCGAGGGGGAGAAGATGATTTGTTGCTTTGTTGTAGAACATGCCTTTTTGAGGGTCTACCAAACCCTGCCTTATAGCCTCAGGAAGATTCAAGATGAAGCCTCCCCGTGTATCCTTCACAACACAGGAATTTGGATCAATGAGGCCATACTGAATAGCCTCTTGAAGGGTTAACACTTCTTCAGAAGCAGGATCAGTGAAGCTCCCACTATGCAGCGACAGAAGACCCTTTTGAATAGCTTCCATGAAACTGAGTGGCTCTCTCCAAAATGCAACAGTCCCTTGCTCAAAGAGAATGCAGAGCTTCTTCATTTTACCTGTCTGAGGATCAAGCATTGCCTTTTTCTTTATGTCAATGATGCCTTCTTGTATAGCAGACTTAAGTGTTTTGAACCTCCCAGTCCTTGGATCCTTTATCACTGCTGACTCAGGGTCAATCAGTTCAGATACAATGGCTTCTTCCAGACTGCAATCCATACATGTCCTTGGATCTCTGAACTTCATCCTAAGCAAATCAATTGAGCCACGACGCATAGCTTGCTGGAATGTGATGGGTTTTTCAACAGTCACTATTAGCCCCCTAGCAAAAGCAACATCAACAGGGTATGTGACCTGTAGCTTTGGATCCTTGACAGTGCCCCTTCTCTCATCAATATCTCCATCTTCAATGGCACTCCTTATGCTCTTCAGATTCCCAGAATTTGGATCTCGAAATGCAGATGTACTTGGCTCAATGAGACCCAATTCAACAGCATAATATAAGTCCAGGTGGTCTCCTACCACAGGATCTATGAAGCGGCCAGTTTCACTGACATATAGTTTATTCTTCAGCATTTCTTCAATGCTCATGGGTCTTTTAGAATTGACGATCAGACATTGTTCCAAGGCTTGTTGGAGGGTCAACTGATCATTTGAACCTGGAACAACATACCTTCCTTCCTTGCTATCAACCAAGCCCTCAGCTACAGCTTCTGGTAATGCCAACAATTGACCACTCACAACATGTCGAATAATGGATCTCTCAGCATCTAATACATCTTCTTTGCATGCCTCTTCAAGTGTCAGCATACGTCCATGAGTGGGATGAGCAAACTTTCCAGTAGAAGGAACATACAGTCCAACTGAGATGGCATCATAAATGCTAAGAGGGCGTTCTATATCCACTATTAGCTGTTGATCAAGAGCTTCTGAAAGAGAAATCTCCAAGCCAGATGTGGGGTCCTTGAACACACCTTGCCTTCGGTCAATGATACCTTCACGGCATGTGGCACCAAGGCTGAGGAGGTGGCCATTTTCCTTGTCCCAGAAACAAGGAAAATATGGATTGATGATAAACCGTCGTAATGCTTCGTGCAATGTGATCTGATTCCCAGTATTTGGATCTGTGAATCTCCCAGTCACCTCATCATATAATCCTTGATGCAATGCTTTCTGCAATGATATCACAGCCATACTATCCACAATGAGACCAGTTTCAAAGGATTCAATGAGGTCACACATTTCTCCTGTTTCCATGTTCTTGACCTTTCCAGACACTACATCAACAAAGCCTTGGTTGAGGGCATCATTCAAAGGCATTTTCTTCAGAAACCCACTTCTGGTGTCTTTTACATGCACAGAATTGGGATTGATAAGATTGAGTTGAATGGCTTCCTGAATATCAACCCATTTACCAGTGGCTGGAACTAGGAATCTTCCCTCCTCCCTTGAATAGATGCCTTTGATCACAGCTTCTCTCACAGACATGTTGGGTCGTATCTCTATTAGTAGACCTTGATCAAATGCAGCCTGGAAATCAACTTTATTATATCGACCCACTTTCACAGTTCCATCCTTGGAATCTATCACTGCATTTTCAACTGCTTGCATGAATGTCATCAAATTTCCCTTTGAATCCTTCACAAGGGTAGAAGATGGATCAATCAGACCACTCCTGATGGCACGATCAGTTGTGAACTTCTCCTTTGTTTCAAGCCTTAAGAACTTCCTAGATTTAGTATCATAAATACCCTTGAAGACAGCTTCAGGAAGGGAGAAACTCTTCTTTGCTGAGACAATCAATCTACGATCTAAAGCATCATACAGATTCAGATCAGCTCCACTGACAGGATCAGTGCAAATGCCATGACGAGGGTGTATAATTCCCACAATGATAGCTTCCTGGAGGGTGAGCAGATCACCAGAACGTGGATCCTTGACAGTTAGTGCTGAAGGCTCCACTTCCCCTCGTTTGATGGCTTCTTCCAGGGTGAGCTTCTCATCTGATCCAGGTAGTGTTATCATACCACTTTCAGCGTCATACAAGCCCTCTTCTAAGAGTTCCTGAAGGGGTCGATAAAGACTTTTGGATGATAAAAGTCCCTCATTGAAAGCAGTGGATAGAGACATTGGTGCAGGGTGAACTAATTGACCAGTTTTTCCATTTATAATACCTCTCTCTAAGGCCTTTTCCAATGATATTTGTGCATTACTCTGGGGGTCTTTGACTTGTACAGTTGATGCATCAAGAAGTTTAGAATCCAAAGCATCCTGGAGTGTTAGAAGCTGCCCAGTAGCAGGATTTTCCCAAATGCCTAATTCTGGGTCATATAGTTCCTGAGCCAAGGAGTCAAGAAGAGGAATGCTGAATTTTGCAGTTAGAATCAAGCCACTATCTAAGGCTTTGTCCAAACACAGCAGTTCTCCACTGGTGGTGTTCTTTAACTGACCAGTGCAAGGGTCAACAAGCTTTCTTTCTAATGCTTCTTCAAGAGTGACAGTTTCTCCCTTGCTGGTATCTAGGCATTCGGTGATAACAGGGTCTACAATGCCTCGATTTACAGCCTCATCAATATTCACTCCCTGGGCTGTAGCAGGATCACGAATCAATCCTGTTTCTGGGTTGTAAAGTCCTTTCCGAATTACTGCCTCTATTGACATAGGCACCTTGCTAGTTGTGATGAGTCCCTGCATGATAGCTGTCTTGAGTTCCAGCTCTCTGCCCTTTTCAGAATGGACATACACACCATGCTTCAAGTCAACCAGGCCTGAGCTCAAGGCTTCATCCAAAGAAACCAACTTTTTGGCTTCCAAATCCCTGACTAGAACTGAGTCTGGTCTTACAAGGCCCATATTGATAGCTTCATGCAGTGGAATCTCCCTTCCAGAAACAGGCTCTTGAATGTTTCCAGTATCAAAATCATACAATTTTTTATTGATAACTTCATGAAGTGATAAGGGTTGCACTGGCTTTCCAGGTGAATGAGCCTTCTCAGATACTTGAATCCATCCCTTGTCTACTGCATCATAGAAAGGGACCCTCGTGCCTGTTGACGGATCAACCATATGGCCTGTGCACTTATCAATGAGCAATAAATCAAGAGCATCAATGAGGGGAACAAAAACACCTTTTCTGAGATCCTTGACTAGAATCAATTCTGCATCAAACATACCCAGATTGATAGCTTCCTCAAGTGTGATGGGATCTCCAGTGTTATCATCAACAAAGGTTTCAGATTCTGGATCATATGAGCCCTGTTCAATGGCATTCTCCATACTCAATTGTCTGATAACATGGACAGAGTATGGTATATTTTCTATCAGGACCATTTTGGTTTCATTCTGTACATCCACAATTGACTCTGGAGAAACAATATGATGATCAAGTGCATTATGCAAAGAAAATGTTTCATTTGTTTTGGGGACGACAAGGACACAGGTGTCCAAGATGATCAAAGACTGAGAGAGAGCTTCAGCAATTGGCACCTTCAGAACAGGATAAACCACTGAGCTCTGCATATCAATTTCTTTGCCATCTCCAGTTTCTTGCTGGCTATTGTTTATTCTGGGAAATCGTGAACATGGTGCTTGGAGTTGTTCACCTATCATGGCAGCAACTTCTTTTCCCATGAAAGCAGGAACACCAATCACTGTAAGCAATCCTGATTTCAGAGCTTGTTCCAAACTAATTTTGTTGCCAGTAGCAGAAGCAATGAAGTTTCCAGTTTCCCTGTCTAAAATGCCACCCTCCAGAGCTTCTTTCGTTGTCAGTAGACAATTTTCCTCAACAAGATACAAAACACAGTTGGGATCAATCACTTCTCTAGTTAAGCATTCTTCAAAACTCAACAATTCTTGTGTCTTTGGATCAAGAAAACTTTCCTTGTTCTCATCATAAATTGACTGGATAGCTTGGGAGAGGGTCAGTTTTGACATGGGCATGGCTTTTTTTGAAGCAGATTCACTGGGATTAAGGATACCCTCATCAATTGCACTAGTGATGCTTATAACATCTCCAGAACTAGGATTCTTAAATGTCCCCTCTTCCAGATCTACCAATCCTTTTCGAATGGCCTCACAAAAGCTGATTTTATCATGACCAGCACTGGCAACACTGGAGTCACTATCTTCATTCAACTTTTCAGCTCTGAGTACTACATGCTTCATTACAGTCACAGGATTGTCCATACCCACATTTGGGGTAGTGTCCGTCACTTCATGAACACTGGGAGACATAGAAAGTTTCAAGTCCCTGGTAAGTGGCAAAATCATTTGCCCTGAATCCAGGTCTATTATGCCAAAGTCACTTCCAAGCAAGTTACTAGTGAGGGGAGCATCAGTTGTGCTCTTGGCTTTACGCCTCGCCTTGGCTTGCTTTTCTACAGGTTCAGCACTGAAGGATTTGGCTCGCCCAATTGCAACTTTGAACTTGGGCTCAGTAGTTACTTTGGAACGAGTGATATCTCCCAATGAAGGTCTCCTTTGTTCTCGATCTTGTACTGCAGGCTCAGACCTCTCATACTCCCGCTGCTTTTCATCGCGATACTTCTTCAACACTTCCAATTCATCTGTTGTGAGAAAACCCCTGTCCACTGCCTCCTCAGCACTTATTTCATCTCCAGTTTCAGGATCTTGAACAATAATAGTCCATTCAATGGTTTTCGTCGTATCAGCTTCCATATATTCCCCATCAGGACCATACCCTTCAAGCACTTGTTGTCTATGTATATCTTCATCAATCAGACCTTTTTGCAAAGCCTCATCGAGGCTTAATTCTTGCTTTGTCCGGGGATCAATCACTGTTGCTTTCTTGTATGTGGTAGCCAGCATACCTTTCTCTATTACACTAGTTTCAGGTTTCTCCAGTGAAGGTTCTACCATCACAATTCCCAAATGTGTAGCATCAACTAAAGGATGCCTCCTTCCAGTCTTGTCTTTGTACTCTCCTGTTTTCTTATCAATGAACCCTTTCCTCATTGCATCATTGATAGCAATAAACTTATTGGAACTGGGTTCCTTCACTCTGACCCGTCTAGGTTGAACCAGTCCTTCTTTTACAGCCATCAAGAGATCCATTTTTCTTCCATGGGACAGTACTTCCACCATTGCCTCACTAGGATAGAATATAACATCTCTAGAGACTTGAATGGGTGACTTTGAAATTTTCTGTTGCTCTTTGTCACAGGTTTGAAGAGTGGTCAGTTGGCTCTCTGAATGCTGAATGCGAAGAGTCTTGGAATCGGGCTGATCGTCTCCTCTCCTGTCTTTCAACATAATGTACTTCTTTTGAACAGCATCTCTCAAAGAGTATTTCCTTCCATCTCTGTCAACATAGTGACCTGTAGAATCAACAAATTTCTTCTCTAGGCTGTGAAGAATTGTTGTAGGCTTCCCATTGTAAGGATCCATGATAGTAGCAGATGAGGGATCTATAATACCCATCTGGATACATTCTTCAAATGAAACCAAGCGATCAGATCCTGGGATTGTTAAGAGTCCAGTCAAGGGGTCAAATAGGTTCAAAGCAAGGGCTTCTTTGAGAAACCATCCTTTTGCTGGCATTTCATAAGCTTGAACTCCCAATGAGGAAGAGCCAAAATCATAGTCAGAGGATACAGAATATTTGGGAACAGTTTTTTTAGCAACTTCAGATATGGGCATACTTCCCTCAGTTTTACCTTCCATTGTCCTTAGACTTTGTTGCTGAGAGTCTGGCTTCTCAATAGAGCTTTTATTTGAAGCATGCTGAGAATCACTTTTCTCTAACTCCTGTGGGTTCTCCTGCCAAGATGATGAAAGAGCAAGGAGACCCTGGGAAAGGGCATTCTGAATGGGAATTTCACTATTAATTTGCTCATCATAAAAAGTTCCCCTATCCTCATCAATTAATCCTCGTTCCAATGCTTCAGTCATTGTCACTTTCTGCTGAACAAACTTCTTCACATAGCGCTTCACTGTTTTAGTAACTGTGGAAGTTGTTACAGTGATATTCAGCAGGCTCCTAAGAAATGTTGCACCTTCAGGAGTGATCAACTTTTTGGCAATGGCTTCTTCAATTGGGAGTGGCTTTTTGTTCTCACGGTCCAAAACTTGTCCTGAAACTGGGTCTAACCTTTTATTAAAAACTGCTTCAAGAACAGACAGTTCCTCTCCTTTGGAATTCCTGATGCCAATGGGTTTTGACAAAATTTCATAAAGTTTATATTGAACAAGACTGCAGCCTGCAGCATCTTTGAAAGAGAGCTTTTTACCAGTATGGGTGTCTACAACCATTCCCATTTCAGAATCAATCAATCCTTTCTGCAGGGCCATGTTGAAACTTATGTAATCACCTGTAGACTGGTCCTTGAATCCATCAATATCAAAGATGACCTTCTGAGCTACAGATGTGAGATAGCCTTTGTGGGCTGCTTCAGGAAGAGTCAACTTCGTATTGGCTGCTGTGTCACAAAAGTGTCCATCTGGAATGATGAGTCCCATGCTCAAAGCTTTGGCTAATGTGACCAAATCTTGTGAAGCTGTATCTGTGACAGACTTAGACTCTGAGTCAAGAAGTCCAATAGCAATGCCTTCCAAGACAGACAGTTCCTCTTTTGTCACTGGATCAATGATGAGGCCATTGGAACTCACCAGATCCATATCTACAACATCCTTAAGAGTCAGTGGTCTGTGAAGATACATCTGAGCATGAGCTTCCTTGAACGTTAAATACTCTCCCTTCCTCCCATCAATATACCTTCCAATTGAGGGACTGATCAACTTGCGCTCTACTGCTTCAAGCAGAGTTAATCGATTCTGTCCATCAAGGCAATCAAAGACTTCACAGATATAAGGATTGAGCAAGCCACGAGCCATGGCTTCATTCAGAGGGAATCTATCACCAGAATTCCTATCTATCAACTGCCCACTGGATTCATCCACGATCCCTTGAGCAACAGCATCTGACAAGCTAATGCCATATGAAGTTTTGGCACTGGGTTCAAGTGATATGTACCCTAAAATATGGGCTTCATGAAGAGACAACTTCATATCATGAATCAAAAGCTCCCCTGTCTTAACATCAAGAACACCTCTCTTCACAGCTTCAGTGACAGTCATAGTGGGAGAAGTCACTATGCCCATTTGAATGAGATCTCTTACCTTCTCTTGAAGCACAACGCCTAATCTCACAGCTTCTTGGACTGATACACACTCTCCTGTGCTGGGATTCACAAAACTTCCTCTATCTGGATCATAGAGTCCCTTCCGAATGGCTTCAAGGAGAGTCAGTGATACACAAGTTTGAGGATCTATCACACCACAAGCACTGAGGAGTTTTCCACCCAGTTCAGAATTTACATAGCCTTCTGTTATAGCCTCACTGAAGGTGAGACAGCGATTCGTCCTGGGATCCACAAACTGTCCAGTTTCACGACTGAGGAGTCCATCTGCAAATGCTTCTGATACACTGAGCACATGACCAGTCTTAGGATTGAAAATTCCAGGTGCATGAGTCATCACATCAGTCACAACTCCCTCTTCACTTCTGCGTCGAGTGGACTTAATTTCTGTGAACTGCATGGAAGTTCCTCGAGGTGGATGTGACAATGTGCTTAGATTTCCCTCCAAACCATTCGTTCCTTGTCCATTAGCCAATGATGAGATAAGTAACTTCTTGTGAGGAACATGATTTGCACTCTGCTGCAAAGTGACATTGGCCATGGACATTCGTTGCTCCCCAATTATTGGATCACCCACTCTCACCCTAAGACAAAACACATGATATGTGATCAGATGCAGACATTGATGCTAAAGAAAAATTAGGAAAAATTCATAAAAGTGACAGCATATTGACAGTCATAACACCATCCAGTCAGCACTAATGATGAAGTAAAGGTTATGCATTTCTGTCAGAGATCCTGCATTATCAGACTTGAAAAACAGCTTCTCAAGATCATGCTTGCCCTTGTGAGGGATGAAACATAGCTGCTACTCAACCTTCCTAAACTCATTAAATATTCAGTGCACATCAGACAAGTGATGTAATACTTGTAACATCCAGATAAACCAGAATTCAGAATACCTGATGCAACATCATTGTGAGTTATCTCCTTGACATAGAAACGAATTCATGACAATTGATGATGACATGATAAAGGAAATTGTGGTTTCCTACATATGATGTTCAAATAAAGTTCAACTTCATATAAAGCTCTCAAACAATTGAGAAGAAAGTATTTCACAGATGCTAGAAGGAATAACACTGCTGATACCTCTTAATTCAAGACATATGTTAATAATAATCTAGGCATTTCTTACATCAATGACTACAATGCAATGATATTTTAAAGAGGGAAGAAGAGTCCCCATTAACCATCTAAAAAACTTGAGTTTATCAAATAAACGATATGAGACTTGAAAAAATGTGCTTCAATAATATATGAGGAAACCTTAAGGTTGCAAAAGCATCATTGAGCCCAACAGTAATGACATGCTTGCAGTGGAAGTCATACAAATACATCTAAATAATAATAAATCCTGACAGCAGAATGGGCCTAAATTACTTAAGAGCATGAAACTATCTATATCAATATGTACCATACAGAGTGGAAAAACTAAGGGTTTGACAGAAGCAAAACTTCAGATGGTGGTTGATTAGTTTGATATCTCACCTTCTGCTGGAAGTGTCACCATTCACACCATCAATTTCCATTTCCAAGCTCTCCAAGATGTTGAATTCTGAACGAAAAGTTCTCAGCTGTATGGGAGTCACCTTTTCAATGCTGAACTGGAAGATGCAAAGACAGCAGAATGGTGAGTAGGCATCTGTTACCAATGCAATACCATAAAAAGCGACTTCCATTCATGGGCACTGGTCCTGCAAGTTCATTAGAAATGCAAATGACATTTCTAGGGGTCTATGGATACCCCCTATGTTTCCTTTCCTATGGACAACATCCTCATCCATCTTTCCCATTCTTGGACAATGAGTCATAATGCTACAAATGGACTGAGAAAATGATTGATATAAGAGGATGTCATCAATTCTTTTCAAGGGCATGATAGAACTATTACTTTCTCAGCCATCATGACAACTCTACAGACTCATTGGTGCCATGTTCAATATCACTGTATGGTTGTTATATAACTATAAGCTGACTGCTCCATATAAAGTGTGACACAAAAGTCACTTGACAAACGAGAAAAAAACCCCTTTGCCTAAAATCTTTATTTCTGAACTAGCAGAGATGCTCAAAGTGTTCTCTGTGAACCACAATGCTGTTTAACATAGCCCCAGAGGAAGAAATCCAGGGGTGTGAGGTCAGATGATTGAGGGGGCCATGACACAGGTCCACCTTGTCCAATCACTGATTACCAAACAGGTTATTCAGTCAAGATAGCAAAGACTTAGGTCAAAAAGGCCAAAAAGTTTGTGACAGCGAATTGTAATGCATATTTAGTGAACACCTACAAAGCAAAAACAACAATTTTAGACATAGTTGTTTTTTTCTCATTTGTCAAGTGACTTTTGTGTCACACTGTAGAAGAATTGAGAGGGTAGGCTAACAACTTCATGTTTACCCCTTATGCTACTATAATAAATTTCAGTGCCAGCTACTTGCCACTGCCAGGAAGTTTTCTTACCTGCAAAGGGCGTTCCTCTGTTTTCAGCAGACTTGAATAGTGCTGTATCTTCTGGTAAGCAAGTGCAACCAGGTCTTCATAACAGGAGTTGAGCTCATCCAGTTCCCGAGCAATAGATGAAGTGCCAGGAGGCATGAAAGGCTGATTCTTCTTCAAAATGCTTGCATCCAAACTTGGGTGAACATCTTCAAGGCTTGCCTTGTATTGCCTCAGTTGAGTGTCATAAATCTGTAGGGGTGTTAGAAAGCCAGTTAGTGTTTATGGTTAGTGCCAAGAGAATGACATGCATCATCAGGTGATGCCATTTGTTGTAAGTGTTTTGACAATGAGTGAATGACTGAATATACAGAGTTTTCCTGACACCTACTTCACAACATCTCAGCAAATACTAACAGAATAAAATGACACCAAGAAACTTCAAAGTTTACTAACTACTGAATGAGATTGCCACAACACAATTAAAACTTGGCTTTCACCGTGTGACACTTTTTGCCTTTTACAAACAATATACAAAGAAGGAAATTAAGGAACTATGTAGCAGATGTGCAATACTAGTGGGTAGGGAAATGACTCACTTTTGCTTCTCGTATGAATCTTCCCCCTTGAGCATTCAGTTCTTCAATAGAATCCTGTTGAGCCGCCAAGACATGGTACATGTTCTATAGGGAATAAGAGTGCCCATGAATATCCTTCCGCAACGGCCCGACTGGTTTCTGCCTTTAACCTTTTCGATCCGGTTCGGGGGAGATCCAAGCTCTAGGATTTTCACTTGTTGCGACTGTACTTTGCGATTCATCCAACAGTATGAAGATTTGACTGTAGGCTTCAGGGCTAAATTATTTGTGAAATGCATTGGTGTTGTGTTCAGGTCAAGGGTCTATCATTCATTATAACAGTGGGGGATATCCAGTCCAAAAGTACTGGTCAACAGTGTCATTGCCAATTCAGTTAGTGATTAATGGAAGATGAGCCGGATCAGAAAGGTTAAAAAAATTACTGACCCAATCTTCAGAAAGCACAATAAAATTAGCAAAAACAAAAAGATGAGAGTTGATGGTTATTTGGTTGTGCATTCCACTAGTATTGACAAGGAAATCCTGCTGTTAACAGCTACAGATTTTAGATGAATATCATCATCATGCTGAAAGACTTTGTACAATGCCAAAAACAGAGACAGAAAACACTTTGAAAAACAAAGCAAATATTCATAAATGGTAAAATCATATTCTCAACAACTCCAATGATGCTCCAGCAGTAATCAGCTTCAAAGTTTGCACAACTAATAACTTATAGCATTATCAACCTACCATGGTTGCCTCCAAGTCATTTGCCTCCTTCATTTGTATTTCCATCTGATTGACCCATGATTTTTGGGTATTAATGCTGTCCTTGTACTTGCGAAGCATATCAGATGCAGCCTCACAACTCTTCAGCCTAGGAATACCACATATTGCTTCTCATGTCTGCAATGAAAAATGAGGGAACATTTCTTATAAAAACCTACCTTTCAGGTACTTGGACACGAACATTTCCCCATCTCTTGGTTAGTTTCTTCACATCTTCCTCAAGGCGATCAACATCAGGATGCCTTCTTTGATTGGGACGGGACTTCTCAACTGCAGGACGGACACTGCGAACATCTTCACCGAGTTGATCCAGAACACGCTGATGAGTCTGAATTGTGGCTTCAACAGTGAGCAAATCTTCATGAATCTGTAAAAAATAAAAAAATCCATTTGTGTAAATTATGTTGATGTTCCACTATGCTTTCATGGGTGAGTGGCATGCTATATACATTGACAATAATAAGTTTACTTTAGAAAACATAACTGTGCTGAGTGTCATAGATGAACAACAATCTATGTGACAGATTACTTGCCTCCCTGAGTGAATCCAAATCTGAGGGCATGGAATCTGAAGATGCTAGTTTGAGCTCCAAGTCAGCCACTAGCCTTATAGCTTCCTCCATGTCTGTGAGAACAATCTCAAGGACCTTCATCCTTTCAGTGTAAAATTGGGACATGTTCCATATTTTCTGCCATTTCTCAAGGCACTTATCCAAACGAGTCTGCTGAGAAGCAGTCTTCTTGGGAAGCTCACGGAAAGTCTCTTGAACCCGCTCCACCAATTCTTCATAGGACTAATGGCAATGCATAATAATTTTTTAAAATACAATATTCTGTCTCAGACCAATAAATGAGAAAATGCAGAAAATGAAGACTAATTAGATCTCACCTGCAACTGGCTCTCAAATTCCTTATGTTCAATCACCAGTGTTTCAAGGGTGTCAAGGCTACGAGGAATATTACTTTGACACCGAGACTTCAGGGTCTGCTCTGCATCATCCAGGGCAGACTGTAGGGTGGCTATGTCCTCAGCAAAGTTCAACTTGGCAGCTGTTATCAATTGCACCAAAAAAATTCATTGAGAAAGGAAAAATTACTATGCAAATAATTTCACTACACGTTAAGTTTTCTTTTGAGTAACTGGACCTACATGAATCCTTGACAGTAGCTAGCAAGTAATGACATGCTAATGATGGAGAAGGGTCACTGAAAGGGTAGACAACACTTGATACCAACATTCCATTATCAACACATAACTGTATAAGTATAAGCACTTCATCATCATAGTTCAAAATTGTTCCTTGTGAATCCATTTCATTAAGAACTTGATACTTCGTGTTTGTAAAGACTGCTTCTAGATCAACTGTGAACATTACCATCATAGAATATCTGATGGTTAAATATGCCTTAAATTCAATTCCAAGAACAATCACTTAGCCATAAATGCATAAGAGCACTCAATGATCGAATGCCTCCAGTTAGACTAAATGGAAAAGGAGAGGATGAGGTCATTTTATTGAAGAAAGCCAATGTGGACTTGTGGATCAGTTAGCAGAACAGTTGATGCGGCTAAAAATTTAATAAGGAAAGTGACTTAATAAAATGAACAATTTGTTAGTTCTGACTTAGAAGTTTTATATCAAGTATCGACTTTAGATCACTATGGCCTTCAAGTAATAAAAAACTCTAGCCTGTACATGAAGTATTAACACATAAAGCTTGAGGATGGATGCATCCACCACAAAACATGTTGGCAAACAATACAGCTATAGCCATCATCCTTGAGCCACCTGCAGGACATGACAGCTCTAGTCATCCACATATCTTATAGTACTAAATCAGGGGGAGCACATGGGATGCAACTGACTTGGCTTGAAATTCTGTCATGGTTGAGCCAACATGAAATACAGCAGTGTATTTCTGGGATATCCAGCCAAAATCCAGGTGTCTTCCAACATGTTAAACCTTTTCATTAGGATAGAGAGGAGACATACTGTCTCTCAACATCATGGCAATGATTGGATGGCAAATTGCAGTGATCATTTAACTCTGGAATGGTGAAAATTCTTCAGTTGATTCTTTGCTTCAAGGGTTGAGCTAGTGCAAAATGAATGCAGATGTATACTAGGCTCAAACAGTTGCATCCTAGGGGATACAAGGGATTTTTATTCAGTCCTATTCCCCCAAATGGAATTGAAACCATTGTCAAGAAACAAAGATCTCTCTGCCTAAGTTGCAAAGGAAAGAAATCAATCATGCATACATTTAATTGCACATGTCTTGGCTGAAATGTTTGTTTTCCAGCCATTTCAACTGAAAAAAATTATCATCATGATAGCCACTGGGTTATCCAACTTCTCTTATGAATGATGAAGCAGAATAGAAATTTTCCTTGAAGGACATAATCCTATATAGTTACTGTAAACTTATGCTTTTTATTTTTTCAGCTATCCATCATGTCTCAACATTCCTAAAAGTATGATTATGCCAACTCACCTTCACCACGACGGGCTCTCTCCTCATACTCCTCAAAAAGTCTATTGCACCGTGCAATTTCATCTCTCAGCCTCCTCAGATGGGGATCAGTAGGATCACCTTCTGATATCAGCTTCTCTGCATCTTCATTGAGGGCCCTCTTGATCGCTTCCCTCTGCTCAGGGGCCATTGCCATATACTGGAGAGGAATCAGTCTTGTGAGAACTCCATTCAAGAGATCAAGACAGTGGTTAAGAGATATTAAGTAAAACTCACTTGCTCAAATGTCCAGCTAAGAACCACCTTTATGGTGGCAAAAATCATATTCTGTCTCATGCGATGCTGCTTCTTTTGCCAGAGGTTGATGCAATGGTCATAAGCCTGTTGTAGTCTCTCTGCAGTGTCAATGGCTTCTTGGTTTGGTGGGGGAATTAGGAAACATACCCCTGGCACTTCACCCTCCACACCTGCAGAGTTACTGATACGCCACTTACTTGGCTGAGAGTTGTTGTGCAAAACACACTCTTCTTGTTTTTGCACAGTCATCTGAACAAAAACACACAGGCGTTTATCAATGCTGGAGTCACCAAGGGTCCACTCTCTATTAAAAAAAGACATATCCTCTAACTTACAGTCATCTGCTTGTATTGACAGATGGCAGTCACAGGCAAAGGCCGAGCAACACGGTCTCTTCTCTGTTTCAGGGGGACGATTTCACGGCTTCTCTCCTTCAAGGACTGTACCACATCTCCATACCGAGTGAGATCATCCCTCAAATCTTGCATTTCTTTCATGAGGTGTTCACCTTCCTCCAGGGAGAAGTCTGACTTGCTGAATACTGTGTTGAGCATTTCTTCTTGCCTATAAATCCATTGAAAATTGGGATCTCATCTCATTGCCAAGGCATTTAAAATTTTAAAAATGATTAAATGAAATAGCAAAGAAAGACCCCTATGACATAAAATTAACAAACTTCTTCCAGTAAGAGCAATTCTTTCAGTCATCTACATCAATCACATCTCCCTCTGTTTAATGAATTTTAATAAATTTATGGAAGGAGATCATTGGCCTGCTGTCTTTGAAACACAAGAGCACTTACTTGATAATCCATTGGGAACACTCTTGTGCTTCAGAGAAAAATCTCTGATATGCAGCTGCATGATGAAGATGGGTCTCAAGACAAAGAGTCAGTTGTAGAATCCATGACCACTGTGTCTGCATGGCAGCCATGTAAGCTTCAATGACTTTGGCAGCAGGATGATTCTGCAAGACCAGTCCTTCACCTCTATGCTGCACAGCATTGAACTGGATCTCCCGTCGCTCCAAGTCACTCATCAGGGTCTAGAGAACACAGGGAATGATCCTGTTCATGACAGTGCTCTAAGAAGCTAACATGCATTTCTACATGTCACATTGCTATGATCCAGCAACAAAAATAATTCAAGACAATTCCTATGCAGAATCCAGATCTTATCCAAAACATTAATTCAACATGCTTCCAAAAGACCAATGTTTAAACTCACCTCATAGTACTGCTCTACTTCCACTAGATCCAAGTTTCGTGAGCTCCAGTCACGGTTTACTTCCACTTCTTCCTTCTCATTCAGCCAAATTAGTTCAGTAGTGGCTGACTGAATGAAATCTAGCAGAGTCTCTAGATCAGACAAGCGCTTGTTTGAAGTAACAAGAAGCTCTGAATAAGCTTTCTGGAGTTGAATGAGCATCTGTGAGTATAGTGATGCTTCTTCCCCTTGAAAATTCCGCTGGAAAGTAAAGTTACCCAGAATGAGGGTAGGCTGACATGAACCTTCAGATGTTCAACATTCCACACAAATTTAAAATAAATGCTTAAAAGAACTGACACAGGCTGAGGAAAAACTGTACTAATAGCAAACACCCTACCCTTCTCTTTCAAAGCTCATTCATATGATTAGTAATTTGTTTACCTTGGCTGCCACACATCTCTCAATCTTTGACTGGAATTGGTCAATGGTGTGGTGCTCCTTCTTTTGTCTTTCCAACTCATTCTGGACACTTGGAAGATCATTTCCATACTCTGCTGTCTCCAGATCCTCCTACATGAATGAGAAATATATATATTCATAGCAAACAAATCCTTCACTTCAGACTAGTCCCTATAAGCATACAGGCTTCCAACAGATGAAGCTCACCTGCTTCTTTTTGACCCATGTAATGCACTCATGCAGGTAACGAAAGTGCTCATTGGTTTCAATCAGTTTCTCAATGGAAAGAACTGGTTCTCTTTGGGCCTGTAAAGCGAGGCGCTTCTTGTTACTTAGCTGCTCTTGAAATGATATATGAATGGCAGACCATCGTTCACGAAGTTTGTGCACTCTGGAAACAAATAAATTCATTCAGTGCCCATGAACAACTTATGAAAATTTTATAAAATATTTTGATAACAAAGGTATTAAAAACTTTACAACTCACTGTTTTGAGAGGCCATGGGCCTCATGATAATGGGCATCCAGAAGAATCTGGCAATCATGAAGCATTGAGCGAATATTGTCATCCACTTGCAACAGATCTTGCTCTATTTCTTCACAGTTCTTCTTAGAATCTCCTGGATGGAGCCTCTCAAACCTCCTCATTTCTTCCTCAACCCTCTGCTCTATTTCATCCAACTTTGAATCAGTCTGCCGAATCTCACGATGAACTTTTTCTGCCAGTCTTTGCCATCGGTCATGTCTACCATTGAAGGCATCAATACTGTACATCACAAGTATCAAGGCTATGTTGAACAAGCAAAATAAAATAAGTGATTTTCCCATACTTGTTGATCTCATCATCAATCCACTTCTCTCTGTCATCCAGAAGGGCCAGGAGACGGCTCCATGCTCGTTCTATGCTACTGATCCGGATATCTTCATCAATACCAAGCCTGCTCATGTCTCCCACAAGTTTCTGTATGGACATAAAGCACATCAGATTAATACAATGTAGCTGAATGTATTCCTGATGAAGATATACTCCTTTTATTATTACAGGTACTTACTTCTATTTCCCTCCATAGATGTCCACAAGTGTGCTTATCCTTCAGCCTTGGAGGAAGCTCTTCATTTCTAAAGCGGTTAGTCTGAGCCATGAGTTTTCGCATTTCTGGAATTGTATGAGGAATGTCAATGGACTGGAGCTCATTGATCTTGTCATGAATCCATATGTACAATCTTCTAGAAAATTCCTTGTATTCATTGAGACGTTTCTCTGCATCCTATGAGCAAAAAAAATTTACATGAAAAATAACTCCTACTTGAAAAAAAAAAAGCACTACAGGTAGCAGATAAAAATTCTCCATCTCCCACCTCAGCAGAGAGAGGATGCAGTGATGGGGGTTCAGGAAAGACATCATACAGTGAGGAGACGTATGTGATGATAGACTTCTCATCTGGTGCAGGGGTATCAACATCTGAGAAAATAAGAATATTTGCATTTCATTAGAATCCATACCTAAACAATTTTATTTCCATTGGAAAAGTTCTTGGTGCAAATCCAATATCTCGAAAGCTATTCAACAGCACACTACACTTCTTTTCCAGAAGTTGAATAAGCCTACCCCTACTTAAAGCAAAACCTTTTCATATGACAATTACATTGGAAAAAGCCCAAAAAACTAAAATGTGTCTAGACATGTTAGTATCACCATTCATGCCATGACTAGTAGATATTCATAATGACTGACTTCAGTGTTATGCCCTATCCCAAGTTGAATATTAAGTTATCACAGACAACTTCGAGGAGTGTTCAGCTCAATCAGGCCAGAATCAGAATGAATATTTTCTCCTCCAGAGCTGCTGGAGACCTTTATAAACCTGTTTCACTATTAAATGGAGAATCCAGTTTTTCAGATTCAAGAAAGCTGAATATTATTTGACTTATTCACTAGGGCCTATCAGTAACTACCCAGAGTCTTTTTTGTCTAGATCAGAGGTTCTCAACCTTGGGGTAATTACCCCCTGAATGCATGAAGGTTCAATGGGAGTAAAAGGATGGTTGAAAACCACTGGTCTAGATGCTCATTCTTTTCATTTTATGTGACACAGTTTCCTTCCTTTGCATTTCTTCCCTTGGGTGTAGAGTGATTGCATGCACATCTGCAGCCTGTTCTTTGCAAAACTCTGTAGCTCACTTGTGGCAATTGTCTGTAGCATGAAAACATCCCCACAGTAGTGTCAATCATTATGTTTAACTTTAATGAAATTCACTCAATCACAACCATAAGCCATCCACTCAATTCACAGGGATTGATACCTTGTGATGTTTACCTCTTCCCATGGCTTTAAGTTCAGGTGGAAGAGACACATTCACCGATAGGGATATAATAATGAAGGTCATGACAAGTCAGCTACAAACCCTTGCAAGGTGTGTACTGTAAATGTACATGTCATAGGATTGGCATTACTTTTAGAATGTCTCTTTGGAGGCTCAGGTATACAAGAATTCGGAAGAAAGAAAGAAAGAAAGGACCAATTCCTCTGACTGATGATTACAGCAACTGTACACCCACTGAGAGAAATGTACAAACTCACAGGGGGACTTATTTGAAGGGGACCAAGCATGTCACCAGAGAGTGATGGGTACGTGTCCAAGGAGAAAAAAAAACCTTTGAGAGCCTTTTGGTACACCTTTTTACAAGGAAAGAGGATCCCTACATATTCCAAACAGTTATTGAGTAGTTCTTTCCTCTATTTTGAAAATCTTTGTATTTTGAACTTGTATTTTAACAGGTGGCCAGAGATAATTTCTCTAAGCTCTTAGGGGGAGAGCAAAGGATGTCATGCTGTATGCAGTGACAATGCATTTTCAAGAAGTTTTTGACAATCCATTGATCAAATGGCAAAAGTACTTGGTTGCTGCCTTTACAGAGAAATATGGTATGGATTTTAAATATTCTGTCAAATTAAGCCGCCAGCACATCTTTCACCCAGCACACATGAATGTGAGTGAAACAGTACTGCTCATCTTCCCCATTGCAATATGCACACTTTTTTACATATGTAGAAGCTATGACAGTTGAAGAGAACCATGTTCCAAAGGTAGAGGGAATCCCTGTTCCTAATTTACTGTAAGCTGATGACCCCTATCTGCTTGCATGAACCTTCTTGAATTGCAGGGGATACCAGGAGCAGTTCCCTATCATCTTGCCAATAGAAAACTTGCTGAACTCAATTCACCGACTACAACTTACTGAATCTTCATTTGGTTGGAAGACAATTCACCTATTGACAAGTTGCCAATTGTTCAACTCTTTGAATTTGCAATTCATCAGATGATAATTCACTGACTCACAGTTCTCCAATTGTTCAACTTGAATGCTTAATTCACTGAACTTCATTATTGACTTTGAAGAGAAGCAGAAATTCTTCCTGTTGACCAGAGGATGATGGAATTAGAATTAGCCCACCTGAATCTCCACAAGCTCAAGGGCTCTAGTAAGCTGCTTTGTGAAGAAATTCAGTACCTGAGTACCCAGCAAAACCATTTGCAATCTTTCAAGTAAGCAACTTGAATATTTGGAGTTTTACTTGGCAGGATATGATTTAAGGAGTTAAGCTTTTGAGTTGAACAACCAGTGAATTGTGAGTTTGCAAATTGTCATTTGACAAATTGAGCAATCGACAAGTTGTAGTCAGCTAATTGAATTCAGTGAGTTAGGTGGTCACTCCAGGAGCACTTTCTAATACTCATGTATAGGAAATACTGGAAAGAAATACTGAAAAATTAGCCATCATGCTTTGTTCAGTGTAATGAAAGTGGGCCAATATAAGGATGCTGTACCTTTGGGAATGTCATGCATCTCTTTCACAGTCTGGTGTTCCCATTAGCTACATTTGGTGTAGAACATTGTAGAGAGTGTGTGAAGAAAAGCTTGTCTAAATCATATAATGAAAATTAGGGACACTCCTTTATGATGCTTCATTCAATCTTGAAATATTTTCTCTTCTTGTCCTGAGGTGTGTCATCATGTTCCAATTACTGGACAGCAAATGATTCATGACTGGGCATGCTGCAGCATTCCTGGCTGGGTTATAGATGTCAAAATTACCCTGTCAACAGCAAGTTATATCTATGTCTAGGATGGTGGCCTTCCCAAGATTTGTTTTCAAGGAACCATTTATAACAGACAATCATGATAAGAGACTTCAGTCAATATGTCTTCAGGCAAGATGTATTTCAAAGTCAATCATCAAGTTTGGTCTCAAATATGAAGCTCTAAAATGGTGCATTTGCCCAATACATGAGACAACTTATGAAGACTAGGCTTTCTTGTTTGCTTTATTTATGATATAGTTCAATGGGCCAATGAATGCAAGAGAGGTGGAATTGTGTCCTATATATTATTCTTGGGGAAGATGGGTGCATTTGTTGTTCCATTGTAGTAATTTTGATAAGGAACACTGCAAAAAAGGCAATTACTTGACTACATGCCCCTCTGCAAGGTCTTATAGGAGCACTGTTGACAGAGGAAGTAATACTGCTAATTAAAATGAAGATATTCACTGTGCAAAAAAGAAGTTTCTGAGAAGACCTGATGATTATGATTATTCAGTTCATAATATTCATTTAGAAATTGGAGATGTGAATCTAGGATTAATCTAATGAGGGTTTTCTTTCCACACATCAAAGTCAATGAGTGAATGGTATGAATTTCATTTATAATATTTTTTCACAAAAAGAAGTCTCAGGCCTATTTCCAATTCAACAAGGATCAATTCTTCCCTAAGAAATTGATTGGTGGCAATTATAACAACATAACTGAGCCTTAACTGGAACTAAAGGGTTGATTCCATATGTATACAGAGGCTGATAATTCTCCCCCAATATTATCAGAACAGAGCATGAATCATCAGGATATGAACATGGATATATTGGCCACAGATTACCAGCAAGTAATCTTTCAGGAAAATTAAAACCATACATCTGTAACATGACAAGTCAATTACATGCTTTTACAAGTCTCTAGCCATTGTCATTTTCATCCTTCCACATACTCAAAATGCTATCAATCATGAATTACTTTGATTTTTTTTGTTACATTAAAAAATGTATAATCTCATGAAATAAACTAATCAAATCATCTTCTGATTTAAAAAATGTTCACATCAACTGTAATCATAAAACTAATTGGTTGTTAAGGATACCATCCAGAGGATGTATGGGCGAATTCCCTATTTCAAGAGAAGTGCCTCATGAGGGAATCCATGCATAAACACAAATTCACAGTAATAATTTTCAACTGTTTTCAGTCCTTGTGCCCAATTGGGCAAGGGGTGAGTGAAACAGATGATGTCATCCCTTATAAGATCATCAGGGGACATCATCGTATACTTTCAGGGGTCAGATCACAAAATATGCAAGTGCCATTTTTTCTAGAAATCCTCTGTAAATAAATAAAAAAATGTCTCAGCTTTACAAAGAAGTTATACACTGAACTAGAAAATGTTGCGTTGTGGCGCGGATTACATGTGCAGATAGTTAATCTATCCTCGCAACTTTAAGATGGTCAAGGTGCAAATGCGGGTTATACTTGCACCTCTAGGATATCATGCTTTTGTAGCCGTTCTATCTGTCCCTTTCCTATCAATACCAAAATGAGGTAGATGAAGTAAATATATATAAAGAGCATATCAATGTGCTCGCTTCTGACTAGACTTACGCTTGACCCAGAAATAATAATCACTTCAAAATTATTTTGTAAAACTCTGCAAAAATGTTTCACCGGAGCGTTTCGGAACCACTAGATTACGATAGAAGCCCTTTCATGCACGCCTCCCGATTCACATTTTAGCCACATTCCAAATCAGTAAAGAAGAAAACCTAGAGCGAAGCTGGAATACAGTCACCTTGTGTGACCAATATAGTCTCACCTTCAGGATCCAGAAGTCTCGTCACTGCATACTCTCGCTCAGCTACGGTGAAAGCAGTATCCAGGCGTTCCCGTGCACTTCGAGTCTTCAAACTCCGCCAGTTTATCAGATCGGGTCTACCCAAACAAAGTACCATCGTCAAGTACCTGAATTTCATGACTCTTTCAGCACACTCTGACGGAGTCCTACCTATGACGATGGATGATGGCATTGAAGGCCAAACCGTCTCTCCAGGACTTGGTGAAGTCCACCACCCGAACGCCTGGATACCTGTCCGTTGTCCTCTGGGCCCACTTCAACAGAGCTTCTCTTGCAGTGCTCCCATCAACGACAATGTCCGATATCTGCATAAAACCCATATATCATTATTCTCCTGTTTCATTAATTGAGCTAAATGACATCTATAATTTAGTAAAAGCCCCAGCAGGGGCGAAGAATCACGACGGACTCCTGTTTACACATTGATTTGTTACACCAAATACTTGGCTCGCCTGGGAATTGGTAATGAATAGGGTCCGGTCTGCAATTGAATATCCCATTTACTTTTGGTCTCCAGGAGGGAATATACTGGCATGGAAAGCGACGTACACGCCATTCATAATTGCATGGGAAGAAAATACCTTCGACAATGATGGTTTCTAGGTATTCATGCATGCGTGAAAACCGGACTCGTATTCATAAGACACTTTGGGACAATGCCATAGTGCCACGAAAAATTCCAGAACAAATATTTATTTCCTTTATATCTCATTCCCAAGCAGGAAGGGAAAGGTCTCTGGATTCTGTCAAACACACGAGAGCGCACACAACTCAGCCACTAAGGGCCTAGAGCAACTCACTTGATCAGGCAATCAAGCTTCGACCATAAAATCCAGACCGTTATCACCAATGGCCCTGACCCAAGTTTCAGCATTGTTCTCAGTCAGGATTCATTACTCTTACGCTCTCATCTCTCAAGAAGACTTCGTACAATCTATGTAGTCAACTTCTCATACCGATTCTCTACAATATGTATGAATACATATTGTAGAGAATCAGAATGGTCCTCAAGAAACTATGCATACGTATGCATCGCTTACAATGTAACGAAGCGATACATACGATTATGTATTATAAGCAGTGAAGCCTCGATAAAATTATGCCTTCTTTTAGCCAATGAATCGATTGCACTTATTCCTTCTGTCAGAGGGAATTTCTATGCTATCATAAGGAGACAATTTTTGGTTACATTTCCAACCTCCGGATTGGAATGATGCAGACACTTTCTTGTATGCCCAGTCTAGCATGACTCGAGTCATTACTGTAAAGCGTTCATCACGATGCTGCTTCTCTGTCTTCACCCCCTAACAACAACCTATTGTCAGCTAAACCTGAAATATGTCTGGCGGATATCTTCTAATAATACAAGAGTCGGCGTTCCACATGGGTGCTCGTCGTACTTCAGCATGCATTGCTCCGTCAGCATGTGTTATGGTCAGGTCATTCGCATCATGACGCCTCGAGCAATGATTCACCCTAACCCTGGGAAGTTCACTTCCTCCTTGCTTCATGCGTTTTCTCTCTCTCTCTCCCCATCTCGCAACTTTCCATTCCCACCCGACAAACCCATGCGCACGAGAACTTAATCGGTTTCTTCAAGAAACGCTGTCCGCCTCTATAACTCTGAGTCAGTATCAGCTAGCCATTTTGAGAGATATTTCGACATTTACAGGTTTTTTTTACTTGTGATATTGAGTCTGTTGCTACATAGAGCTGCTAATGGAGACTAACACAAAGCGTGCTAAACTCAATGTTGGCGGATTTAACTTATATTTTTCTTAATCGGCATACGCCAATGGGGGTAATGGATGTGTTAAAGTGGGCGCATAAATGGATATACGAAATCGGTTTCATTCCAAAGTGGAAACAGGATGAGACGGAGAAACGTATTATCGGCCTTAGGTCCAAGGCTATGCAGCTGGACGTGAAGATATTCGAGGAGATTCCGAACGTCCTCAGTAAATGACCAGTGAGGCAAGCCTGCATCCGAATTACGTCACTGAGTTCATACGAATGCAGTGGGTGTCACGAACGACCTTCCTTTGGCACATCTTCCTCAGCTAATGGCCTTCGATTCCGATGCGGCCTTACCCACCTGCGACTCCATAACTCTCTATGCATTCCGCTCAACACGTACGAATAACTTTCCAAGCATTGGGGGCAAAGGTGAACGGGTAAAGCAGTTCTGCGGTTTCGCTATTGGTGTCAGGATGGACGTGTCTCAAGTTGGGCCTACTTCAGACACGCGGAAGTGGATGGATCAATCACAAAGTATGTTTTATTATTTATTGATACTGAGAATTGTAGTGAGGCTCATGAACCCACTCCACCGGAAAAATACTTTTTTAAAATAAATAATTTGATCCTCCACATCACATCAAACGCTCTAGAATCGCGGCACACGTATCAAGTGAAACTGACTAACTGAATTTTGCTATCGAATGACTTTACGCAGCGTGGTAGAGATTTCGAATGTCATGAGAAATGAGAATCAGAGCACCAACTAGGGGGGAATGCATATTAAATGGCGGTGAAAAGCATTGCCGACTTCCGCTGCGAAGACCATAGCGACTGCAAATACAACAAAGAGGATGGAGGAAGTAGAGGAGGTGGAAAGTTGCAAAAACGGAAGTGAACTTCCACGGTTGGGTTCAGGTGTGCCTGAGCAAGGGAGATGAGAATGTGTGATTACAGAGGCAGCATTGCGTCATGTGTCAGCCAGCATGACGTAGAGGCTAGCATCTGACCCAAAAAGGCAAGCGTTTGTGAGGAATCGGGAACTTTCAAGGCAACCCTCCGCATTCTCCTTTCTTCTCCCTTCTTCCTCAGAATTGGGAAGAGGAAGCAAGTGCTTGATCCCATTCGTGGCCATGTGCAAGGTAAGAGGGATATTCGACCGCAACAGGGCTTCACTTTTCCCTCCCGCACATGACTTAAGTCTACGCCTGCACTTACGTTTGGTGAAGTGTATGAATCCTCTGGCGTTTCGTGCACCTTACAATGCTACCTCGCAGCTTGTATGCTTTTACCGGATGAGCGTACACCGAATCCACCATATTAAGCGCGAAAAAAATCAAGAGGAAGGAAAAAAGGCACCTCTTTCTTGGGCTTGGATTCAGCCAAGGGCTCACTAGATGTCTTTTGAGTTCCCCTGGTCAGGGTGGTGGTGCGCTTTACAAGTCGAGTAGTAACAGATTTTAGAGGGCCCTTCCGGCCGGTGCGGATGGACTCCATGGTAGAGCCATGGAGCTCCGTACTCAGTTGGCGGTGTGTGTAGACGGCAGCTACTTCTTTGCTCTCGTCTTCCGTGACGAGCACACCTGGCGGGGGTTCCCCGTTCCCCGCGATCCCTCCCCGCATGAAGAGGCGAGGGCCGCGCTCGAACTTGTACACTGACATGACACTACTGCATCACAGATGTTCTCAACTCATCACTCAACCGGCGATACGCTACAAAGAGGAAAGCAGACGACTTCTCGCACACGGTCGAGACTGCATCAGAGTGAGACGCGAACTAGCCCGGAGGAGTCGAGCCGAAGCAGCGGGCGCATGCACGGTCATGCTAATGGCCTCCACACACGCATTTCACACACACACACACACTCTCCCTCTCAAACGCACACACCTGAGCGAGATTGCCGGAGGGGATGCCTCACAGCTGACTGGAGGGAGCTAGCAGTATGACCATCTTAGGGCATGGAATGACTCAAACATCACATGACCGTCATGCCCAATTTTACGTCTCGTCACCGCTCACCCAATACATATCAGTAAGGCAGCACCTTAGCTTTTGCTAAAGTGCTACCGCACCGAAAAGAAAAACGGCACTCAAAATTGTGCGACATCCGATAGAGAAATAGTGATGAACCAATAGAATGTCAAGAATGTCCCCATTAGATACCTGTGATCTTAGCACCAGGGTGTACCGTAGGCGCTCACAAATGAGCTCAATGCTCGTAATAACATCTGAACATGGAATAAACGAGTCACGTCCGCGCAAAGGAGGGTGTCATGTTATCACGATGTCATTCCTTTACCCAGGCTTATCGAGAACATAAAATAGTGGAACAGCGTTGCGAGTCACGTTCACCCTGCGAGAAATTAACACATTCGCTGCCATCATCGGCTTAGGTCGATTAAGAAAAAAATATTTTAAATCCACCAATTCCGAGGCAATCTAAATATAAATCTTCGTTAGCTACTCTGTGAGGCGACAGACATTTCTCAATTCAAATTATTTTAATTTGATTTAAAGAAGGAAAAAACGCTGCAAATTACGAAAATTCAATTAAAATGCCAAAACCTGTTGGGTGGGAGGTTTAGAGGTTGGTAGTTAATTGCGTTCAGCGTTCTGTCCTCACGGACAAAAAGCAGGAAACTGCAAGGAATATAAATATAAATGAACACCACTCAATGGATGGGGATGAAGTTACTACACATAATGCCATAGCTTAGACTAAAACCCCGTCTGAATGGAGACCTATTAGTTTCGTCTTGGGCAGACAAATCACGAATAGATCTTCCACGCACATCACGAGTTGATGAAAACCTGGCACCAAAATACATTACTTTTATGCCCGTAACATGTTTCGTACACATGTGAGCGCCTCAGCTTCTACCTGCCGCAAAAAGCGTTGTTCGTTGAAAACGTGAAAGGCGAACAGTAAGAGATAGAAGTGTAAGTTATACCATGAAAATATAGTGACGCGAAGGGGGCCAGAGAAATCTCTATAATGGTACAGAACTATTTTTCGCAGAGCCACTTTAAGGTACTCGAGTTTTGCCAGCAAACTGCATGGTCCAAAAAGAAAGACTAAAACCTCATAGTATTAATACATCCTGGTACTACAATCCCTTACGAGGCTAAGTGTTCTCTCTGTCCCCGCAGACCCCCAAAATCCTTTATAATCTCACAGAAAATACAGAATTAATGGAAAGTATCAACTTTTCGAAAGCCTCAAAGACAGCCATCAATCAAGTTGTTTTTCTTCGCAATTTACCCTGTTCTACCTCGAGGTAACGAAAAAGGTGTTCATAGGAGAGTAGATCCACCTTTTTTAAAGCTGTGAATGAATAATGCGTTGGGGTTGTTTTGAAATTCTTCCGGCATTACACTTTTCAACACCCTCTAAACGTCAATGAAGGCAGGCCCTTTTCCAAAATTGGCCAGTAAGGGGGACGATAGACGAGGACTACCATATATGGTGCACATTCCAATGAGAAGCCAACAGGAAGGACAAGCACGAGCTCCTCCTCCCTTACACTGGACAACTTCATCAGCCTTCCTCATGCATACGAAAAAAGCAACGATTTTCGAAATACCCATAACCCTCTCCCCCCCCCTAAAAAATCTGAGTTTTAACCATGAATGAGATTACTGCGACGTCCATTCAGCCTTGATTTATCTCGTACGAACGCCCTTTAGATGCTACGGTTTATTGACAATCATGGGCACACACTCCATGACTTTCCCACCGTCAACGCATGATCTTAGCATTCACTTAAACTCATACGTCACTTAAATTCCACTTGCGGTGACTATCCACTAGCTGCAGATGGCATGGTGGACAGGGCCCACCCACCTAAGAGACCTCTAACGTAGGGAATAGCGAGGCGGTGCTTTTACCACCTCCGTGCGAGGGCAGGTTCTGGCAGCTAGTCGTTTGCCAACACCCAAGGATCACAATGATGAATGTCTCCATGGTGCAATCTTTAACTCATCTGATATCCAGTCTGCGCCAGAACAAACACGTCTGTTCTGAGTACCTAGTACTGTGCTGCCAGGTGAGTTCTACTCAATTATCCTTTGCTCTATGGATTGCCTACATGAAACAGTTACAAGGGAGCAGTGGCGGCTCGTGATATTGAGCGCTAGTGGTTCTTCTATGGAGAGGGGGTAGGCAGAGGAGGTCGCTGCCTACCCTCTCTCCATAGACGAACCACTAGCGCTAAATATCACGAGCCCCGCCACTGCAAGGGAGGCAATGCTTTCGAAGAGATAATGAGTTCACGCAACATCCGTCAACGATGAAACTTTGAAGCGATTTCACTTCAAAGTTTTTCCTTGTAGCAGAAGAACAAAACAATTCCAGATAACCAACTTACCTGGAAATGGACGATCAAAGTCCAAACGAGTCCAAGCGTCAACTTGGGATTCCCATCCACAATATCCTCAGCTCGAATATTCACCAATTTTATCTGCGCAAACATGAAGTCAATTACTCTATCGTGCCTAAATTATGCTTTAAACACGGGGAAAATATTACCTTCAATATCGTGAATTCAACTAGACTTAGGGGAACACACATGCTTTGCAATTTAACAGGTTGACCGCCATGGGGCACACCGGTGCGCCCTGTGTTTCACCTTCTCCAAGGGATGTAAAAATTTATTTTGACCCAGGAAAGTCACCAGGCCAATATGCCCGTGGCGGTCAACGTGTTAAAAAAAAAGAAGCTATTTGAAGCGAAATGGAAAAAAATATACAAAATTATACAACCTCGTTCGTTCAGGTAGCATTCAAATCCTCATTTACCGTTGTATATTTCTTGACATTTCTATTCTGCAGGGTGATTATATAGGAGATAACCCACTTCAGAGCGCTATTGTGCCTAAACTAAAAGATGTCCCAGAAAGCTGATGAGGTCCAGGATGTTAGGGATTTTGTAGCATACACCTTCTCTTTCAAAAAACCTAACAATCGGTAATCACAAACCATTAGGTTTAACAGCAGTTGTCAAGAAAGGTCTAGGCTTTCGAATGATACAAAACTCATTTCCATAAGAAAAAAATAAAGACATAATGATGTACAAAACTTGGGGCGGGGTTTCTGGGACACCCTGTATATTGTGTATGATGGTGTCATCCAGCAAGCATGACAAGTGAGATATGGGGAGGTAATTGTAGCCATTTACCAAATCTTACAACAGGAGCGCCACCATTACATATTTTGCATTTTACCCATAAGTGCCGCGGGAAAAAATGGTTTAAATACGCTGTTAATGCGCCACACAGGCTAATAAGCATGAGCTCATAAAGGTAACAGGAGTGTAGAGAGGGTGGATACTGAAGTTTTACTAAGCAAATGGCATGGTCTCAATGCAAAGTATGCAATGATAGTGTTGATTGCGACAGTATTTGGTAGGTGATCCAAGTAGGAAATATTAGCACAACCGATGGCAAAGATTTGATAGGTGTTGGCATTGATATCCTATACATTTTAGGCACTATAGCGCTCTGAAGTGAGATACTTTCCTCATAATCGCCCTCTACTTCCCGGTAATTAAAAAAAAAACCAAAGAAAAAAAGAGGAAATAATTTCTGAACATTACTCACCATTCTTATAAGTTCCCTTCATTGATCTATTATTCTAGATGCACGCAGACACAACTGACACATTTTAAATAAAACATCAGACGGCTTGTATTATTGTGATAAAGCCAACAGATGACTTTGAACACGGAAAAAATAAAAACGGTCTTGCTATATATAGCGGGCGGCCGTAGTCAATGTGTTATGCAAGAAAAGTGCATATGCAAAGCTAATAAAACTCTCGAAAAGTCGGTGGTTCTATGTGCCACCTAAGGGCATGAAAGAGTTAAATTTCAAAAGTAAGCCTAGTGCATGGGGGATTGAGAGCAAAGCAACCCCAATTGCAAAATTGCAGCATTTCTTTTAACTTTTCAGTACTGTGGGATATAAACTCATTTGCATAGATAGATTGCGAATTAAATGTCTAGAAAGCATCTTTTTACTTAAACGGCCATAACTTCTGCAATTGTAATTGGATGAGTTTGGAGTTCCACCTTTCAAATGATATCGTCAATTTCAAATATTAAAAAAAAATTATGAATAGGAGAGGTGCAGCAAGTTACTGTTGCACCGGTCATACATTGTACGTTGGACGGCCGCATATGATGCGGTAGCCGGTTGTACAATGTACGTCGCACGGATATGAAGGGTTAAAATAATTTTTACATTTCTGTGGTTTCCTGAATGACGTTTTCATATTTATCATCAAAACCTCAAGGTATCGCGCAGCTAATAACAGGAGTTTCCAAGCAAGAATAGGAATCAGTCCCACCAGTTAAGTATTTTCTGACACCCCCTCCTTCCTTGCACTCGGTTGAAAATGAAACTCACCCCAAGGTGACGGAGGAAGTCTAACACCGTCTGCACATTTTGAATTTTGTGGAAGCGCATTTCCCCTCTCTCCCGAGGCTTGATGGAAAAATAAAACAAAAAACAAAACAGAAACATTCACGCAAACCATGAGACGCATAGCCAGAAGACAAACAATGGGGTATAACAACTTACGAGAATTTGTCCAGATAACACTTCCAATAATGATATGAGATTGTGGCCATCACGGAAGTCTTCAAAGAGATCACTGACGTGTTTCCCGGCCTGAAAAATCACATCCATGCTAATTTACTATCAAATGCAAGTAATATCTGACATACAACCGAAGCATTCAATAACAAAATAAACTAAAGAGACACATAATACTTTTGAAACAGCCTATCTCAAAAGTAGAGCATGCACTCTCCACCCACCTGTGTTGGGGAGAAACTCACAACATTCGTATGTGCGCAATTCACAATTTTTCTATGGACGTACTTCAACCTCGTTCTTTCACATCGCAACCCATGAAAGGGGAGGGTGGTGAGATTCAAAAAGCACATCAGTATTTGATATTATTCCTTAAAGAAGCAGCTTGAAATTACGTTCCGAATGAATTATCTGGCCAATTGCAACTACAATTCCCAATGTTCGGATTTACCTCAGTAGGTGGGGTAAATCCGAACATTGGAAGAAAAATTTCTGAATAACGCCTCTAAATTTTGGTTGAGCAGAATTTGCACACGTATCCCATGGAAGCACAGGGATTGCCCTTGGTGCACTTTTCGTGTATCCCCTCTCACGCGCAGATCTCGTAACACAGACCTCAAATTGCCTTTTTTAACATTAATTTTGCTTAAAATGCTTGTCAGTTGCCTACAAGTTTTCCTTCGATTTCAAAACAGTACGCTTTGAAGGTTAGGTAACGAGGGAAAAACGGTGAAGTTACTATTCCAAAAAGCGCCATCATTACCTTGTTACGAACATTACCATGCTTGCATAGTTGTCTAAACATGCAAACACGATGAAAATACAATGAAGGTACACCCATGAAAGTAACATTGTAACACAACATCACTGCGTTAGAATTGCTTGGTGACTCTTCATGACAGAAGTCTCGCCGTACAGGACGGCGGGTAAATCCTTAATCGCTCGCGTCCATTTGGGCGCACATAAGCTGGTTAAATAGGTATGATATTGCCTATACCCCAAGCGATTAGTAGAGGGTTGAAGATCTTGACTCACAATAGCCTTTTTGATTTTTTTTTTTGTAATTGCACGGCATCTGGAAAATATTATGATATGTAATTGCCCAAAATAGGACAGCATAGGTATTACTTGGGTATCATACAGTCATTAGTGTTTTCAACAAGCCAATACAATAAAATGTGGGGTAAATCCGAACGTTCGGTTTCCCCCTTCACCTGTCCGGATTTACCTCACAGCGCCGACAATCAAAAAGCCCGCTCTGACGGATTAACTATAGAACTAATATCGCAGATCCGTCACTTTTCGAAAGAATAGTAATTCCTCTTTTCTATGCGAAATCGTTCGAACCCGTCAGATCCTACGCAGCTCCAAGGAAGGCAAAACCTCTCGAGCAGTTCCTTACATCAATCGGGATCAAAACGAAGATGTTGCTTTCCTCGGGAAGCTGTTCAAGTCACGATAACTCTCACAATAGGTTTTCACACTTGTTGATCAGGCCTATGCACAGGCACAGGTGGCTAGTTGTCACGATTTCCAAATAGGGTATTTCGCGCTATTCGGATCTACCCCGCAGTTCGGTATTACCCCACTCTCCACTACTTTAAATCGTCTATCTTTCTCATACTTCGTGTACGTTTAAAAAACAGGCAGAAGAGAAGTTTTCGAATCGAACCTCCATTTCAGAACAAGAGGCAAATTAATCTTGCATCCCGGTTCTATTCTGCACCTTTGAATTGTCTTAATTGCACTGAATTGCTTAATGCCGTCGAAGGCAGTGAAATATCGAGGTTTGAACTTTTATCGTTGGCTAGAACCAACTGAAAGCAAGCTCATGAGCCGTGAAGCACAAAGCCTTTCCGAGCGGGGAGAAGGCATGATACGAAAATCCCCCCCCCCCCCCCCCTCCCAGCTTACTAAGCACCAGGCATGGAGCATAATCACTATCTCAGTGAGTGAACTTATCACCCTGCTATGACAGGAGATCCAGGTTTTCTAGATATTACCGTACAACTTCGACATTGGTCTTTACTCCCTATCTAAAGAAGGCGAGAGGCAAACTTCAGAAAAGGCCCATGATTTTGAAGTTTTTAGTTCACCCGTCCCATACAAGAACATACAACATGCATCGAGTTGTGTTTCATATATTGATCATATTTGACCTGTCATCCTTGCTTCGGAGTGTGGTGGATCAAGAAGGCAGTCAAGTTCCAAAATAGCTGCTGCCAGGCTAAAAATTGTAATTAGTCATAAAGTCAAAGTCACATGACTTGGTGTCGGAATTGGAGTATTTTTTTGTGGCCAATGAATTAATTTTTTTTTATTGCTTCCTTGGTCTTAATTTCAGACACATTTCACACTTCTTTCTATCTATTGAGACTCAGTTTCTTTGATGGAATGAATTTCAAAGGACTTGAACGTGGTTCTTCTGCCATCATGTTTGATGCAGAAGAACCACGTTAACTTCTTTGTCAATTACCTGAAATACATGGAACGAACACTCACATGTCTGTGCAACAACCTGCTGCTGGGCTGATGGATTCATCTTACAGTCTATTATAAGTGTCTCCTCCATGAGAGCAACCGGAACACCGAGCACAAAATTAACTGATCATTTGATCGACAGTTGGAATTAACCACACCACAGTTAATCGTGGTGGCTATTTCCTTCCACCTATAGGGCCTATTCACCCAAAACTGTATAGCGTACAGGTCTGTAGCCTTACTTTTACACTTTATAAATTGACTTTTCAGCCTCCACTTCCCCACCCCTAAAAAAGACGAAACGAATTATTCATTTCTCTCCTTACCTCACGAGCCACCGGTATTTGAAAGGTTGAAAGCATAATCTGCAAGAAATTCGTTCCTCAGACTCCGGAGGAAAAGCACAAATACTCTAGCGATCGTCATCTTAAAAGCGAGGAAAATATGTATATATTTAATGACAGTTTTTTTTTTACACTTACATAAATAACACAAACAAATTCATTGAAAAGAAAAAGGGCCTGTGTGTATTTGACCAAATATCAGTTTCTCCATTCATTCATCCTCTAATGTAGAGGGCATAGGGCATCCATTTTGAACTTTGGTAGCCACAATGGATACAGGTGCACTTGGTACACAATATACTATGCATACCAGGATTGAACTCTTACCAAAAATACCCCGATCTAGACACCAAGCACAGCCTCATTTCCTCAAGTCCTCTATCTCAAGGTGGAAGGTCTGAAGGTGGGACTTAAGAAGTCTAACAGAGTAATACAGGGTGGGCCAAAAAAAAAAAAAAAACAAAGCTATCATTTTTGGTAAGCTGTCAATCTGATTGTATGCAACCGAATTTGATTACATTTGGTATACAAATAGGGTGACTCAATTAGAGTTGGTGTGCCAAGTTTCAAATAATAAAAAACTGTGAGATTGGCATTTAATTTACATTTCCTTACCAAAAAAGTAGGTGTTCATTTTTTCCTTCAGCTTTAATATGACAACTGACAGAAACAAACAAACAAGCAAACAGAACAAAAACAGATGCACAAATACCAAACATGAAATCACACAATTTGGTTTAGGGACGTACATTTCAACTGAAAAGGTGTTCAATGTACCCTCCATTCTGCTGAACGCAAGTCTAGGACACCACAGATCAATGACTCGGTCAATAAACCTTTGAGGCAGTGTCTCCCAATCTTCCTTTGTAGCATCATGCAGGGATGGAAGGTCAATGAATTCGGACCTCCATTTCACCCCGGCTTCAGGGTTATATCAATATTTTCGACAGCACATTTTGTCATTGGTCATCAGAAAATAACTACAACTCCTATACTTTTAAAGCCAGATGGCTGAAACTTGGCATACAAACCCCAATTTTGTTACCCTATAAGCCTACCAGTTTTAATCAAAATCGACAGCCTACGAAGAGATTGACGACTCTTCAAAAATGACAGCTTTGTTTTTTTTAGTGGCCCACCCTGTATATCTGCATATTGGGCTAATTTCAAACATTTTCCTCACGAACTTCATTATGTTTCGTTCATTGAGTTAGAATAGCTCAGACATAAAGTCTGGGCTACTCAAACTCAGTGCTTATCTCTTTGGCAAAATAAATATGTACTACTCCTAAGCAGATGTTGCGGCAGTTGCTAACGCAAAGGCAGAAATGCGCTACGAGGCCTACTTTTTTAAAGTCCCGTGCACCCCAATTCAGGTCTGTCAGTGTACTCCTGCGAACGAAGGCAAGAAGCAATCCAAAGCAGTCCATCGTTAAAGACATCTATAGGTACTGCTTACCTACTGCTAGGTAACGGCTTATACCACCCGTCAGTGAGACATACAGTACTAATACATTTTAGACCTACTGCTTCTGTTTCGTTCCTTCGTCACTCACTCCTTTCATTCAGTTGCATTAAATTTGAGAACAATGGAGCTTTCGTTTCACAATAAGATAAACGCTCGATCGACAATAACTACTCGTTTTCCTGGAGAAAACCAACGGTGATGGGTATCAGCTAAATTCACATGAAACTTCACGAAATATTTTTTCCAGCCTTCCTTTTCTGGCCTCTGTCGGGTTGTCTTGTTGCAATCTGGCCACTTGAAGTTCATTGCGATGATGAGGGGTCTTGAAGCCGAATGCCTGTGAAACAGCAATAGGGCAGTACAACAGAACCTTGCGTAGCACCTATCCAATTACTGTGATTTCGAGAAGAGAGATAATGAAGCTGTTTCGGCTCCAGCATGAGAAGTATATCGGAGTTGCGTAAGGCAGCTGCTAAGAAAAGAAACAATCATACCGGTCATGCAACGTTTTGCACCATTTCAAGCATCTCACCGTACCCCAGTTCCCCTCAGGCAGTTACGGTCCTGGTGGAGCTCAGATGACACAAAAACTCGGAAAGGAAATTCATCCACTCCAATTAATATTATAATGTTCATCGTTCGGGGGGACTTCCTGGGGAAGAGAGTCACTCCAAGTGCAACAGTCCTCATTTTCGTCAGGTAGCAAAATAAAAACTCAACGACTATCCATGAAGGAGCAGCAATATATTGACAACGTCAGAACAAGACACGTCATGTCGTAT